TTGCAAATTTGAACGGTCACTAAACGAACTGTCACTTAAATCCAGGATGCCCTGTATGGCCTTTTCCTCCCTCATCCATACACTCAGTTCCTGTGTGCGCTTTACCACAACCTGCGTGTTGGTTGAAATTGGTTGACGACACTTCTTTTGAAAGTTAGTAATAACAACGCTGGATTTATGCCTACACACACACTGCATAAAAGAGACCTACATATTTGATCAGCTTTTTCTGGTCCATTGAAGGGAGCAATATTATCTCAGACCTGCTGTCTTCCTATAATCGTAGTTGCAAATGACGCCGCTGGAAGTAAAACCACGCTGGCTTGAGAGTTTAATCGCATTTTTGTGCTTGTTATTGATTTAGCCATTGTTCAGCCTCATTATCTCTCCACCAACACAGACCCCACAATCATTTTTCACATCCTTAGTCAAGCACCAAATTGTGAGCCAAGGACAGACACTCATAATGATCTCCGGGGTAAATTACAGGAGGGGGATTGCTTGCTAGCTATCTCTCATTGCTTCTGGACAACACTTTTCTCCGACAGTCATTTACTGGAGCATGTTTGGAACAATTGCGGCACGTGAGTAACCTGGACGGTGCAAATGTTACGTCGCTTAGGAAGGGCCACCTGCTGTCACCTCAGCTGCCAGCTTGAGAAGACAATGTGGTGCCACAAAAGAGAAAGCTCTTCAACTTTCCATTCGATCAGAAGGCTGAGCAGCAGAGAGCCATTGTGTTAAAAGGAACATCAGCCAGGCTCCCTCCTGCTCTGGTGACTATGGATAAAGGCAGGTGTCTGTTTATGAAGTACCACTTTCTTCGTGGTGGAGGAGACAACTTCAAAAGCTGATCTCCCAAAGGTGCTTTTTTCAGGAGGCAACTGGACTTTCTTGTTTTTCTTTTGAAGACGTTTCACTTCTCATCCAAGAAGCTTCTTCAGCTCTGACTGGAGGGTGGGGAGTGGAAAAGGCATTTTTCCAAGCCATGGTGATTTCATAACTGATGAGAAACCTGGAGAAGCAAGGGAAGGAGAAGATACTTCACGCCGGTTGGAACAATACAGTGCAGATCGTCCTTGACTTATAGACACACTTGAGCCCAAAAAATTATATCGCTAAGCCAGACAGTGAGTTGTACTCCATTTTGTGAATTTTTCTTGCCATAGTTGCTAAGTAAAGAATACTGCATCCAGTTTTGGTCAACACGTTACAAAAAAGATGTTGAGACTTTGGAAAAAGTGCAAAGAAGAGCAACTAAGATGTCTAAAGGCCTGGAGACTAAAACATATGAAGAAGAAGGGTTGCAGGAATTGGGTATGGCCAGTCTAGAGAAAAGAAGGACCAGGGGTGACCTGATAGCAGTAGTTCAATATTTGAGAGGCTACCACAAAGAAGAAGAGGGTCAAGCTATTCTCCAAAGCACCAGAAGGCAAGACAAGAAACAATGGATGGAAGCTAATCCAGGAGAGAAGCAACCTGGAATTAAGGAGAAACTTCCTAACAGTGAAGACAATTAATCCGTGGAACTTCTTGCCTCCAGAAGTTGTGGGTGCTCCATCACTGGAGGTTTTTAAGAAGAGTCTAGACAGCAACTTATCTGAAATGATGGACTAGAAGTCTTTTCCAGCTCTATTCTGATTGAATAAAATGAGCTATGACTGGTCCTCTGCTAATAACTGTTGTACCATCCCTGTAGTCACATGATCAAATCACACACACACACACACACAGAGAGAGAGAGAGAGAGAGAGAGAGAGAGAACAAATTGTTGAAATTGGAAGAAACAGCAGGGGGATAAGACTTTCCTGTGTTCTGACAAATTAGGTGCGAGAGGTTTTTATACAAGATGCATAAAACACACGGTTGATCGATTATTATTATTTTTTCGGTCTTGGCAAAACTGAAGGAAAGGTGAAGGCAAAGTTTTTCCCCCATGGGGATAAAGACTGCCAGATTTCAGATGAATAAGCTCAGGAACATTTCTTACAAAAGCGTCCTTTTCGGGGTTTTTTTTCCCTCTTCTCCTTAAGCTGCTAAAAGATGGAAGAAGTTTTGGATCAGGAAATGGCATGGAAGCCAGCACTGAAGCAATCAACAAGCAGTTACTGGAAGGGAAACTGCAGTCTGGCTGTTGCAGAGAAAAGGGGACAGGAATGCAAAAAAAATAAAATAAAAATAATAATCTGGCTAAGGAACTACATGTTGAACATAAGCATCCCTTTTGCAACTCCCAGAAGGAATGGGGTCAAGATGGGTTTTTTTCTCTTCCTTCTTTAGGTGTTCTAAGCTTTGCAGATACTTAAAGGACCCATAGCAGCATATTAATTGGGGTCCTCCAGTTTTGCAACATGACTGACATACAACACCAAACTTTAGTGGGTAGAATTTGTTCTGTGTTACGAGATTTTTGAGGCAGCCTTGGGTTCTCAACCGATTCTCCAAAGCACCTGAAGGCAGGACAAGAAGCAACAGATGGAAACCAATCAAGGAGAGAAGCAATCTAGAACTAAGGAGAAATTTCCTAACAGTAAGAACAATCAACCAGTGGAATGGCTTGCCTTCAGAAGTTATAGGTGCTCCAGTGCTGGAGGCTTTTAAGAAGAGATTGGACAATCATTTGTCAAAAATAGTTATAGGTCTGGATTAAAACATCTCCAAGGTCCCTTCAAATTCTGTTATTCTGTTATGTCCTCTAAGAAAAGATGCAAAGATCAGCCACTTAGTTGGCATATTGATAGAGAGTACCTTAAATTGTGTCTGTGTCTGTGTGTGTGTGCGTGTGTGCGTGTTTGCGTATGTTCTTGAGCTAAGCACATCAGTGAGGTCAATAAATTGAGAATATAGTGAAACAGTCTTTAATTCTTTAACTGGAAAAAATATTTTAGGAAAGTATTTTAATGGGTTGTTTCCCCTTATATACCTTTCTCTAGAGTCATGGATTTGCCTGTCCATCTTCAATTATAATAGAATAAAGAGTGCCAAGATGGATTAAAAACCTACAATGTGGTGCAAACCTTTCAGCATAATAAGCATTATAGATAGAGAGAGAGATGGATAGATGATAGATAGATAGTTAGATAGATAGATAGATAGATAGATAGATAGATAGATAGATAGATATGGAGCTCAATAGAGAGAAATGATAGAGATATAGATAGATAGAGATATGGATAGATGATAGATAGATAGATAGATAGATAGATAGATAGATAGATAGATAGATAGATAGAGATAGAGATAGATATAATAGAGATAGAGATAGATATAATAGATAGAGATAGATATAGATATAATAGATATAGGTATAAATATAGAGATAGAAAGATAGATAGATAGAGATAGAGATAGATATAATAGAGATAGAGATAGATATAATAGATAGATAGAGATAGATATAGATATAATAGATATAGGTATAAATATAGAGATAGATAGATAGATAGATAGATAGATAGATAGATAGATAGATAGATAGATAGAGATAGAGATAGATATAATAGAGATAGAGATAGATATAATAGATAGATAGAGATAGATATAGATATAATAGATATAGGTATAAATATAGAGATAGAAAGATAGATAGATAGAGATAGAGATAATAGAGATAGAGATAGATATAATAGATAGATAGAGATAGATATAGATATAATAGATATAGGTATAAATATAGAGATAGATAGATAGATAGATAGATAGATAGATAGATAGATAGATAGATAGATAGATAGATATAATAGAGATAGAGATAGATATAATAGATAGATAGAGATAGATATAGATATAATAGATATAGGTATAGATAGATATAGATAGATAGATAGAGATAGATAGATAGATAGATAGATAGAGATAGATAGATAGGTATAAATATAGAGATAGATAGATAGATAGATAGATAGATAGATAGATAGATAGATAGATAGATAGATAGAGATAGATATAATAGAGATAGAGATAGATATAATAGATAGAGATAGATATAGATATAATAGATATAGGTATAGATATAGGTATAAATATAGAGATAGATGATAGATAGATAGAGATAGAGATAGAGATAGATATAATAGAGATAGAGATAGATATAATAGAGATAGATATAGATATAATAGATATAGGTATAGATATAGGTATAGATATAGGTATAAATATAGAGATAGATAGATAGATAGATAGATAGATAGATAGATAGATAGATAGATAGATAGATAGATATAGATATATTAACCTCAATCTGTTCACTGTCATGAGTTCTTAGCTGAACTGCCTTAACTATAAACTTTTTTTCTCACAATATCTAATATAATATAATATATAATATATATTTTATACAACATATACAATATATTTTCTCACAATATATAAAGGAGTCCCTGCGGATTTTACTCCGCTAGTCTTTGCCAACTGTAGGGAGTGTGCTCATCTGTATTTCAAGGCGATTGAACCAGCCCTGTCCAAGGACATTTCCGTAATCAGGTGGCCAGCCTTATGCCACGGAGCTCTGTTGCCTTCCCACCGAGGGGGTACCTATTTATCTACTTGCATTTGCTTGCTTTTGAATGGCTAGGCTCAAAAGTGCAGGAGCTGGAGCGAGGACAGGCACTCACCCTATCACGTGGAGCTTGGGTTTCGAACCCAAGCTTCCTGCTTTCCAACCGATAAGCCCAGTGTCTTAACCGCTGAGCCACTGCGCCGCCCCTCACAACATATAAGGCTGCTGGAAATGTAGCATCTAAGGCACGCTAGGCGATGCGCTTCTGGTTTATTTACGTGACTATAATTGCAATGTGTTGAATTAAATGGTATTCATTTAAGACTCTGTAATATGGGTGTTTACATTTCTCTTTCAAGGATAAACTAGAGACCATCACTGGATTAATGCTTGTTTCCTTTTTTTTCATGGTTGTTTTCTTATGAAAGTAACAGTCACAAACCTTTCAGTTATTTTGTTCTTGTTCTTCCTGGTCTTAACTGTGTCCTTTTTTCTGTCCCAGGCACATTGTTGTCTGTGGTCACATCACTTTGGAAAGCGTGTCCAATTTCTTGAAGGACTTCCTTCACAAGGACAGGGATGATGTCAACGTAGAAATTGTCTTTCTGCATAAGTAAGTACCTTCATGTCACTACTCACACACAAAAAAGATGGGATCCTAAAATCTATAGAAGAAAGTATTTGTAGATCAGGATTGAACTTTGGGGTCCTTGGTGCTCTCTGAGCTCGGTTATTTCATTAGCGCACTGGATGATGGTGCCTAGTTTGGTAATAAAACGTCTGCAAGGAAACAATCAAGCTCAGAGACCACCAAGGACCCAAAAACTAAAATCTGCAATCAGATTCTTGGGCAAATACTTCCTCTTGCCCCAGTTGCAAACAAGGCTAGTAATAAACTTTTTTTTTACATATTGTAGTATGCAATTATTCAGCTTTTGGAAATGTTTGCACCTCAGGGATATAAAGAGATACAAAGTCCCGTGTACCTCTTTCGAAAAAGATGCCCTGTGAATATTTCAGCTGAGAGCACCAAATGTCCCTTTTTGTATTGTCCTTTGACTCACAAGTACATTTGACATATTTAACCAGGCCTGGTTTATAAAATACGGCAGGAATGCATTGCCTGCTTTAGGATTCGGTCCTGAATATAATTAAAGGCACAAATCGTTTAACCAAAATGAATGAATGTGAGATTTCCTTAAGGTGGATCATTGTATTCTTTGTTATGCCATTCGTAGACCTTCCCTACACTACACACTTCCTAAATTGGTGGGCTGTATACTTTAAATGTCATAGTAATGAAGGGACACCTTCCCTCAATCCATTAAAAGGTGCTGATTAAAGTTGTGCATGCTTTCAAATGCCTTATACGTTTGAAGCAAAAGATTAGGATCTTATTAACTAACTTGAACTTTTGGGAGCTTTCCATATGAACTTAAAAAAAAGATACTGTTGCTTTAAGTCATCAAATCAAATCAGATCAAATCTGTATTACGTTCACAGACCAACATAACTATTTCTTTAATGGATCTCAGTCTGCTTCTTAAAGCAGTCACAATATATTTTTCAGACTCAGTTGCAATCCTGAAAAAAGTTTGTTGGCTTTAGTGAATAGCAGAGAAGTGTTACGCTTTGCTGGAGTTTGAAAGAACACCTCCAAGTCATGTTTTGTGTGACTTTTGTGGTTTAGAGATGAAGAATTTTTAAAGGATTTTTACAGGTGCCCCAATGGGAAAATTTGAATAGTGAACTAGGATTCTTCAAAGAAGAAGAAATATAATTAATGTCACTCGTGCCACAGATTACTTAATCATCAATACCATTTAAACCAAGTTGGCTATAGATCTCAATGAATTTTATTTTCGGTCATTTTGAAACCACAACTCTTCTGCTTGTGGTTCTACACGTCCACCTATCCAGCTCACAAATGTCACCTGTCAAAAGTGATTCTGGACGCGAACTAAGATGACCTGAAAAAAGTTTCACATACAATCTTTGGCATGTTAAAAAAAAAAGTTTGAAATCCAATTTGACAGGAATTGAAACCAATAATCCTCTTAAACTGATGAATCGTTAAGTTATGGTAGTTAAGCATGAAGAACAGAAATTGATCCAGGCAGTGGCATTTTGATGTATTGAATGACGGTTATTCTTCCACAAGATTTTAAAGTGAGCAACGTTAGGAGTTAAGTCTACATTAAAATTTTGAAAGTCTGTGGGGTTACCAATTCTGCTTTGGTTTCGTTTGATTTTGCACTGCTCTTCCCTAGATCTGTTTAAATTATTTTTACAGTGTCAATTTATGAGTTTTTTAAAAAAATTATTGCACTAATAATTTGCCCAGGAAACACAACTTTTTTAAAGGTGTATAACTCAGTTAAATTATATAATAAAAAAGCAAAAAGAATAAATGCATCAAATATAAACATCATTGTGCAGCAAAATACAAAATGAAAATCATAGTAATAAAAATATCACTAAAGAGTGAAATTTTAACACTAGTTTAAAATCATTTTCAAAACAGCTCTGAAAATCATGGTGTCGGCATTGCATTATGAGTAAAGCTTCAGTGGTTATTGGGTAGAACATCATTCAGTAACTTGAACCAGTTTCATATTTCCAAGTTAAATCTACAAAGATGTACGGTGAACAGAAAATGGAAAAAACAAAGAGAAGAGGCAGAATATAATTATAAGTAATTAAAAATAAATGTATTTGTTTGTTTGGGTTCAAAAAGGCTATAATAGTAATTGCAATGAGATCTCTGAAGAGTCTCTCCCTCAATTTTGAGGAGATCCAGAAAAGTCTCAGATGAAGGTCCAGATAGGTCAAAAGAGAGATCTAGATAGGTCAATATGAAGGTCCACATAGGTCAATATGAAGGTCTAGATAGGTCAATAGAGAGCTCTAGATAGGTCAATATGAAGGTCCACATAGGTAAATATGAAGGTCCAGATAGGTCAAAAGAGAGATCTAGATAGGTCAATATGAAGGTCCACATAGGTAAATATGAAGGTCTAGATAGGCAATAGAGAGATCTAGATAGATCAATATGAAGGTCCACATAGGTAAATATGAGGGTCTAGATAGGCCAATAGAGAGATCTAGATAGGTCAATATGAAGGTCCACATAGGTAAATATGAAAGTCCACATAGGTCAAAAGAGAGATCTAGATAGGTCAATATGAAAGTTTAGATAGGTGAACAGGAAATAATAAATATGTTAGTCTTCCAGATGCCACAAGATCAGATATAAGACAAAGAGTCCAGAATTTCTGGATTGATTCTTTTGCCAAATAAAGTATAGAAAGAGTGAGGCACACTTTCTTAGCTATCTTAGTTTGCAGGAAGAATTCACATATTTGATAAGAATAACAGAGAAGTTGATTCTGATAAACTTTGGCCTTCTGTGTCCTGCGGACATGTATCCATTAAATGATGGATGTCGATGCATGAACAGATAAGGACATCATCTTTCTCAGTTCTGTGATTTTATTATTTGTAGCATGCAATAAATTTATAAACACAAGTTTATTCAGTACCCTTAGGACAGAAGAGGGATGAGAAAATATGCAAACTAAAGTAATACACTCAGATTTTCTCTCTCTTTTTTCAATAGTTGGACTACAATTTTTCCACGTCAATCTTAATTTCCTGAAAATGTCCTATCAGCAGCCATGAATGCTTAAAGAACATGCTATTACCATAAAACTCACTTCTAATAATAACTGCCTTGATTTTTAAATCAGATTTTTAAATATATATATGGATTTGGATTTTACAGAGCAAAATACAGTGTTGATCAATTGCCTGCTATGACTAAATTGAAGCACTCTTCTGTGGGTTCTTATCCTGTCTGTCAAAAATTTCACAAAGTTGAGATTAGGCAGAACTACAGGATATAGGAAAGTGCAAAATACACAAAGGAGTTATTTTTCAACTGCTGGAATGTAAATTATGAGTGACTGCTGAAAGCATCATATGGACAGCTACTAGCATTCAGAAGCAATCTTACAAATTAGGTCATTGTCAGCTACACTTCCAAGGAACAGACAGTTTTAGGGTAGACTAGTGGAAGTGTCTATGGAGATTCTCCGTCATCCAGGTCATGGTGGTCCCAAAGGTGCTTTTTCACGAGGCAGCTGGACTTTCTTGTTTTTCTCTGAAGACGTTTCTCTTCTCACCCAAAGAAACTTCTTCAGCTCTGATTGGATGGTGGGGGGAACATGGGAGAACCAACCCATCAGGACAAGATTCAGCAGTCCATCTGCATTTGAAAGAAAAAGGCCACTCTTTTAAAGACAGCAAAATCCACATTTTGGATAGAGAGGACCGTTGGTTTGAAAAATTGGGTCAAAGAGGCCATCTAGGTCAAAATCGGACAGCCCTCCCTCAACAGAGGGGGAGGGATACCACATCATCCTTCTCCAGTCTACCACACAGTCCTTTCAGCAGTTCCAAGAAGGCTCCACACCCATTTGCACCACTCAGGTGATCCTGAGGACACAGGTAAACCTCCAAGTGGCCTCAAGAACTCTCCAAAAGAAGGCAAATGACCAGCTGTCTGCAAGGAGTATAAACCCTTGGATGAGAAGCGAAACATCTTTAGAGAGAAAAAAGAATGTCCAGTTGCCTCGTGAAAAAGCACCTTTGGGACAATACTGGAAGTGAGCAACTTAATCTTACCAGCAGGGCTGTGTGTGTGTATGTGTGTGTGTGTGTGTGTGTGTGTTTGTGTGTGTGTTTATTTGTATCCTACCTTTATCATTTATACAAGTAACTGTTGAGTATACAAATAAAAGTCCAGGATTATTTTCATTTCTGAAAAGCTTAACTGTTTATTGAATACATGGCCTGGTAAAGGTGAGGTAAAACTAACTCTAAAATCCCAAGACCACAGCATATAACAATGACTTTCCCAACCAAACTCCCCCCAGATGTCCACGTAGCTCATGTAAACAAGTTCTCTTTGTTATGGGAACCGTCTGCTATCTTCTTCACACCTGCTAGAATGTCCTTGAAAGGTTTCCATACTACTGATCTCAGCAAATTTCCATAGAACTGGAGAGATTTCATTTCTCTAACTAGACCATTTGAAAGCAACGCCTCCCTCCACCTTACTCTAATGGCAAGATGCAAAGAGAGAGGCATGTAGCTGCCAAATGTTCACTCTTGACAATAACTCAAGGGGGTGAACAGATCTAACACACTTTCCTCCTCCTATTTCTCCACAAGGACAATCCTGCAAGGTGAATTGGGCAGAGAGAGAGAGACTGGCCCAAAATCGCCTAGCTGGTTTTCATAGCTAAGGTTGGACTAGAATTCACCATCACCCGGGTTCTAGCCTAGTGACTTAATCGCTAGGCCAAACTGGTTTTCTAATGCCTATGATCAATTCATTGAAAGCACTACTATAATTGGACCAGTATATGAGTGTATCATGTATGTTTATGTGTGTGTGTGTGTGTGTGTGTGTGTTTGTGGGCCTGTGGGTCCAGCAGAAAAAAATTAATTCACCTTTTGAGCAAAATTAAGCACTTGTACAACGTGCCTTTGAGAGCAATGTCTCTCAAAATAACATCCTCTCTAATTCCCGAGAAAAAAAAGGGGAAACCAAATAGAAATACTGCATATAATCAACTTTCCTAATCCCTTTTTTATATCATTCTGACCTGGGGACAAGGCGAGGGATGATATATTTGGAAGAAAGCGAGAACATTCTGGAGAGCTAGTAGCTTTAAAGGGAGGAGAGATGAAAAACAATAATATACAAAATAGATGGAATGAGCTGGCTGTGAAATCTGTTAACCTTTTGGAACTGACAGAGAAATAAGTTTCATCTTTGTCTTTTTTCTTTCTTTCTTTTTTTCTTTTCATTTAGTATCTCCCCTAACCTTGAGTTGGAAGCTCTTTTTAAACGACACTTTACTCAGGTGGAATTTTTTCAAGGGTCCGTTCTTAATCCGCATGACTTGGCTAGAGTAAAGGTAAGGGTGTTTTTTTTTTTTTTTTAAAAAAAAATTCTAACTGAACATTTGGAGAGGAAAATTAAACAAGCAGGGTCTAAAAATGTGAAGTGATTTTAAAGCCCATTCTGTTTTCCTAAAGAAAAATGGAAGGTATTGTCCTATAAAGAAATCTAGAAACCGCTTCTGGACAGCCACATTGTTTTTTCCCCCATTTCCATGGTGCTTTGGCAAAAAAATTGTACCATTCTAGTGTCGTTTCAAATTATATTGATGGGCTGAAGCTTAAGAAATCCCAAGTCATTTCAAGTTCAAGTTGACTCAGAAGAAATATCACAGAATTACCGGAAGCTTCTTTCCAAATTAATAAGGTTCTTTAGAAAGGAAGAAGGTGGACAACGCAGCGATACATGAACAAGTTTAAGACTGAAGTAGCAACAGTTCAGAATTCTGCTTTTAGGAATGGGTTAATCCTTCTGAATATAACCCCTTTCTTATAGAATTTCAACAGAATAGCTCAAGGGGGCCATGGCTGTCTCTCGATCCAGCCACAAAGCTTGAAGTCTAGACCAGAGGTCCCCAACCTTTTGGGCACCATGGATCAGTTCCGTGGAGAGAGGTTTTTCAGTGGACCGGAGAGTGCGTGGTTTTGTGTGCTGCTTGCATCCTATGGATGGGGCTTTGCTTGTTTATGCGGACCAGTTGCTGGCATGCCACAACCCGTTACTGGTCCACAGACCGGGGGTTTGGGGACCCCTGGTCTAGACCTTGAAGCCTATATGTACGAGGGCAATTTGGAAATAACAGACAGACACTCACAGATACAGAATTTTTATTATACACATTAGCAAATGTACAACATTACTTGACATTTTGACATAATCGCCATTCAGACTGACGCCCTTGTCATAACGTCTTTCAAGGTTTGAAATGAAGTGGTGGTGGTCAAATCTTGGCTCTGCTTTGGACTTTCTCACGCATTGTGCCAAGGAAGGAGAACAATTGTGACAACGATGAGACCTGGCTGTCAAATGTAAACCCCGAAAGCAAACAGCAATCAATGGTGTCGTACGCAGTCACCAAAGAAACCCCCAAAAGCTCTAAAAACGTTGTTTGCCAGAAAACTTATGGCAACAGTATTCTGGGATGTCAAAGGAGTAACTGCTAGTGAGGTTCACGGAGCATGGTTCAACCATCAATTCAGACGTCTACCATGAAACTATGAAAACTCAGATGAGCCATCCATAACAACGTCTGGCCTGCTAACTTCTGGTGTGGTGTTGGTTCATGACAATGCTCGCCCACACACCGTTAGACGCACCCAAGAACTTTTGAAGCAGTTCCGGCGGGATATTTTTGATCACCCCCCATAGCCCAGATTTGGCACCAAACGACAACTACTAAGGAATTTCATACCTTGTAAGACATTATGACAAGGGCCTCAGTTTGAATGGCGATGATGTCGAAAAGTCTTGTAATGTTGTAGTTTTCTAATGTGTATAATAAAAGTTCTGTATCTGCGAAACAGAACTAAACGGAGGTTTATTTCCGAATTGCCCTCGTATATATATATAAAATAGAAGCTGGAAGTTGTTAGTCCGTGGGCACAGTGTTATTCAACCTGGGCAACTTCCAGATGTTGATTCCCAGAATCCTCAATAATGGCTGTGCTGGCTGGAGACGTGGATTCACACATCTGGAGGTTGATCTAGATGCACGCTTTTCCTTACAACATCTAGATGTTGAAGTTCACTGGCATGGAATTTTTTGTGTGTCTGCCATTCAGATCTACACGTGATCTCTTCGCCCAGATTCCATAAAAGCCAAATAACTTTGAAAACAAAGAAAATAGTTGCTTTTTATGCATTTATGTTTTCTCCTTTGATGTCCAGATAGAGTCAGCAGATGCTTGCCTGATCCTTGCCAACAAATACTGTGCGGATCCAGATGCCGAAGACGCTTCTAATATTATGAGGTAATTTAAGAGGTAGCGATTTAGATTTAATTTTCAGTTTTGAGGGTTTTATCCTACACTGGAATGTTCAGCCTACAGTGTGAATGGAAGGAATATCAGAGGTTGCACGTCATACTCGGTTTCTGGGAAAGGTGTTGGATTGGTGGGGGCTTATGTCTGTGGAGATCCTCCATCATCCAGGTCATAGTTAACCCAAAGATGCTTTTTCAGGAGGCAACTGGACTCTCTTGTTTTTTCTTTGAAGACGTTTCGCTTCTCATCCAAGAAGCTTCTTCAGCTCTGACTGCAGGGTGGGGCATGGAAGGACAATCCAGTCAGAGCTGAAGAAGCTTCTTGATGAGAAGTGAAATATACTGCCTTGTCCCTGAAAGAGACACCAAACAACTTCGCTTTTAGGTTGCTTGGGAAAGTTTCTTATCCTTGTGGACTGCCTACACAAGCTGAGATGTCAGATTCAAGGAAGGATGGAGTTAGAAGAGTCTAAGAAATCATGATGTCAACCATCTTCCTTAATTGAGGAATTCAAATGAAAGCATCCCAGACAGATAGGTCTCTAGCTGAAGACACACAATGAAGATCTTCATCCCCCAAAACTGAGGATCAATCACCACCTAATAGCACAATGCTGACTATCTTAAGACTCTGAGAGACTTGGAACTTGTAAACCTTGTAGAAGAGTGACATTACAGGTAGTCCTTGAATTACAACAGTTTATTGAGTGACTTTTGAAGTTACAACGGCACTGGAAAAAGTGACTTATGACCATTTTTTACAGTTACAATATGTGTAGCATCCCCCCCCACAGTCACGTGACTGAAATTTAGATGATTGGCAACTGGTTCTTATTTATGAGGGTGACGGTGACAATAAAGGTCATAAAAACTCCCTTAACAAATGTCTCACTTAACAACAAACATTTTGGACTCAATCACGGTCATAAATCAAAGTCTGCCTGTATTAATCTATCATAGCTAAAAATCAGGAGCTCGTGGTACCTTTTTCAAGGGACACATTTTACCTTGGCTTTTTGAAGCTATTTACCAAGAATAAATGTGAAACTATTTCCGAATTAAAATGACAAGAATTGCACTTTTTTTATCCCCTTTTCAGAGTAATTTCTATAAAGAACTACCACCCCAAAATAAGAATAATCACTCAGATGCTGCAGTATCACAATAAGGTAAGGCATATTCTGATATTTGCCCTCAAGGTTTTCTGATAAATGATTTCTCTAATGAATGGCCTGGGAAGACACTAGAACAGAGACATTAAGGTGTAATATCTTGAAGATGCTTATTGCGAAGTTAAATGATACCTCTTCAAAGTCCCTAAGAGGTTACTTTAATAGTCCTTCAAACTTGCCCATGATTAATTGGGAAAATGTTGGCTAGGATATTGGTGGGACTGGCTGTCCCCCTTTGCCTCTTTCCCCCCCCTCCCCACAAACACTTCTAGGCACAGTGACATGTTCTTCTTTCTCTCAATTAAACCATCTCATCTTGCCAGTTGATCCTACTTGGTCGATCCTTTTCATGAGGCTTTGAAGACTTAGTTGAGAATAGAATAGAATAGAATAGAATAGAATAGAATAGAATAGAATAGAATAGAATAGAATAGAATAGAAGCTGGAAGGGACCTTGGAGGTCTTCTAGTCTAGTTCCTATATCATTTCAGATAAGTGACTGTCTAGTCTCTTCTTAAAAACCGCCAGTGAGGGAGCACCCACAATTTCTGGTGGCAAGCTGTTCCACTGGTTCATTGTCCTCACTGTCAGGAAGTTTCTCCTTAATTCCAGGTTGCTTCTCTCTTTGATCAGTTTCCAACCCTTGTTTCTCGTCTTTCCCTCTGGTGCTTTGGAGAATAATTTGACAGTGTCTTCTTTGTGGCAGCCCTTCAAATACTGGAATACTGTTGCCGTGTCGCCCCTAGTCCTTCTTTTCTTTAGGCTAACCAAACCATAGCTGTTCTTCGTATGTCTTAGTCTCCAGTCCTTGGATCATGTTAGCTGCTCTTCTCTGAACTTTTACCAAGGCTTCAACATCCTTTTTGTGATATGGTGACCAAAATTGGCTGCAATATTCCAGCTGTGGCCTCACCAGGATTTTATAAGGTGGCACTAATACTTCATGTGATCTTGATTCTACGCCTCTGTTTATGCAACCCAGGATTGTATTGGATTTTTTGGCTGCTGCTGCACACGGGTGGCTCACGGTCAAGTGATCATCCACTAGGACTCCAGGGTTTTGTCTTGTTTTTAGAAATAATAATAAAAAAACTAAAGCTATTCCCCTCCCTTTCCTCTCCTCCTCTTGCCTTCCCCACTGCTCACCTCCCCCCCCCCCGGGATGGTTAGATGCGCCATCAAAGTTTTGAAGGATCATGGTTGACCTCTTCTCTCTCTCTCTCTCTCTCTCTCTCTCTCTCTCTCTCTCTCTCTCTCCCTCCCTCCCTCCCTCCCTCTCTCTCTCTCTCTCTCTCTCTCTTTCTTGCAGGCCCATCTGCTGAATATTCCAAGCTGGAATTGGAAAGAAGGGGATGATGCCATATGCCTTGCAGAGCTGAAACTGGGGTTTATTGCTCAAAGCTGTCTGGCACCAGGCCTATCGACCATGTTGGCAAATCTCTTCTCCATGAGATCATTTATAAAGGTAGCCTCTCCTTTTATTAGTGGAGATTTAACGGGACTCGGTTTTCCACTGGGGGCCGCGCAGAGTGCGTGGCTTAAACTCAAAACAGAAAAGGAATCCGTCAGCATTAAAACACAGGACAATCTGTAGAGCACAGAAAGACAAAACCCTTGGCTATTATTACAGATTGGGCAAGAGGCCAAGTTCCTTCCTAATTACATTTTTATTTGGCACATCCCTGGCCATTAGAGATTGTCCACAGCCCAATCTTTCTGACACTTTACTCCTTTTAGATAAACCATATGTTTATCAACAGAGAAATCCTTTGCAGTTAAGAAATGCCATCTCTATCCAATCCACATGGCAGCAATCCACCAACGGGGGGGGGGAGGTGGGGGGGGCAAAGAAAGGCATAATTTTTTTTTTCTTTCTTGGATGTTTTTGCCTTCATCCATTGGCTGCGTATCCCAGACTGCAGTCATAAATATGGAACACGTATTTGTATACCAAAGTCCAAACTTCCAATTAGAAGCATTCGTTCCGATCATTCGTCACTCATCACTTTATTTCCTTCCCTTCAAGAGGTTCCCCTGGGATTTATGAGAAAATCATAATTGTGTAGCTCAGTAATGCTCAAACGTTCTCAGGCATTTGTACCAGTTTGTTTCCTTAGTTTTTAATTTGCTCTGGTTTTCTCTCTCTCTCTCTCTCTCTCTCTCTCTCTCTCTCTCTCTCTCTCTCTCTCTCTTTCACTCTCTCTCTTTCTTTGCTCTGATCTCTCTCTTTCTTTCTCTTTCTCTCTCTTAGCTCTGATCTCTCTCTCCCTCTCTTTCTCTCTCCCTTCCTCCCTGTCTCCCTCCCTCCCTCTCCCTCTCTCTCCCTCGCTCCCTCGCTCTCTCTCTCCCCTATCTATCAACTTACCTAGCTACCTAGCTCCCTCTCTCTCTCCCTCCCTCTCCCTCCCTTCTCTCTCTCTCCCTCTCTCTCTCTTTCCTTCTCCCTCTCTCTTCTTTTTCTCTCTCTCCCTCTCTCTCACCCCCTCTCTCTCCCCTATCTGTCTATCTCAACTTCTCTTTCTCTCTCTCTCTCCTTCCCTCCCTCCCTCTCTCTCTTTAAGAAGAGATTGGACAACCATTTGTTTAAAGTGGTATAGGGTCTCCCGCTTGAGCAAGGGGTTGGAATAGAAGACCTCCAAAATCCATTCCAATCCTGTTATTCTGTGTTCTGTAATAACAACAGTAATTCGTCAGGCATCAAGAAACATTACAATTAGCGACAACTTGTGTTGAAAAGTGTCTTCTGCAAGGTTATTCTACAGCCCCGCCCCCCGAACCCCATCCCCAGTATATCTGGGACAAGGCCGTGGCCTTCTCAATTTCTCATGTGCTTTCAGACTAACAAGGAAATGCTTCAGGCAAATAAACACGGAGCATAATAGACTGTACATGTTAGAAGACTGCCCAAAAAAATACCCCCCCTCCCGAAACCCCTTAGCAGAAGTCCTGCCATTTTGGAAAACGTAGATTGAAATGGAGAATTTCCTTCCCCTCCTTCTTCCCAGTTGATTGCAGAGCAGTAGAAACCATCATAAATATGACACTTGTCAACGACAAATCTCCGTGATAAGCAATGACACAGCATGCATTTTTTTCCCCCAGAGTGGCAGTTTTCATATGGAATTTCTTAATTTGCAGCAAATATATATCATGGTTGCAAGATAACCTAAGCCCAGGACATTTGGTTGGGTATAACCAATCAGATTTCTGAAAATGCTTTCTTAAAAACAAAACAAAACTAAAAACCCACATTACAGAGAAATGCAATGAGCAGAATTCCAAGCAACGGATCCTGCTAGTTAACAGGGTTCAAGTTAAGTAGAGGTCCGTTGGGGGTAAAATAGCAAAACTTTAATCAATGTGTAAGCATTTTTAGGCTTGTCCAGGGCAAGCCATTTTGTTATATAAACAGAGCGCAAATCTCTTTCCCGTCTAGCACTGATGATGTTACCTAGTTGGGTAATGAAAACATCTGGAGGGAAGCAACTGAGCTCAAAGACCACCAAGGACCTCACGGATTGAGTGTCATTATATGCTTTCCCCCTATCATGTTATAGCTTGCTTGAAGCATGTTGAACCACATTGATCAAGCAACAGTAATGTCATTATCATAACCATGCCGAGCTGTAAATCATAGTTCATAAATCATAATTGTTGTGTTCACTTATCAGACTAAGGCAAAACCAAACGAGGCAAGTTCAGCATAACGCAACGGGGAAGGCTTCCCTTGATTTAACCTAACTAGCTAATTTGATTTTATTTATGAGATACTTAGGGCTGATTTGCTAAGTAAAGGATGCGAGAACAAGCGAGGCTGTGAGAAGTGTGTAATCGTAGGCCTTAAATGAGCGAGAAAGGTTTGTAATAAATTCATGTGTCATTTTAAAAACAGCATTTCAAATGGCCCGAGAAACAATTGTTTGATTTCCTTTTGTGTGACTCAACGCTGCACTTCAAGTTAGCTGGGCCCTGTGATTGCTGATATTAGATACATTAAATCACCTGTTTCTATGCAACATTGGCTAATAAAGTTGTAAGAACAGCAGTCGATTTCATTTCAGCCCAAAGGTTTTAGCTATAAAACGTTTGTTTGTTTTTGCCGAATAAACTCATTCAAGGGTATAAATCTCTCTTTATTCAGTATTCTAGTTGAAGAAGATAGATGCTTGAGTTCCTTTTCAATATCATGGACAGGGGGTGGTGGTGGTTTTATCACCATTTCATTTTTGGGTTTGGTTTTTTTTGTGTGTGTGTGGATGTACTAGAAGCAGTTGATAAACAGTATTCCTCAACTGTCTTTGGATAGTTCTGAAGATGGATCTCTTCTGCTTATAAGATTGCCAGACTTTGTGAGAATAAAAAAAAAAATCAGCTGTAAATGAAAAGTTTGAAAAGAATAGGCTCCTTTAAAGTTTTTATTGAACAGCACAATCATAAAAGTGAGCTACAGCTTTGTAACATTTGATGGATAGTGATTCCTGTCTAAAAATCATGTCCCACTGGGACCTTGGGAATATTTGAGGCAGCGTCTGGCCTGTAAATTTTGCAAGTTTGCAAAAATGTGAAAAAATTGTGGCAACTTGCTTATGTATCCAGTAAACATGATGCACACTTTGATAATGACTGTATACATTTAAGCAAAAACACTGTTTTTTTTCCTCCAAGCATTGTAGAAACTCAGTCCTTCGGATGTTATGTGAAGTTCCAAGAAAAATATCTTGTGTTCAGAATTATCCAACCTAATTCGTATTTCACAAATGGGTTGTTGTTGGTTTTTTTTACTAAGTTCACGTTCCCCAAAGCTCTTGCAACATAATAAAAAAACGTATCAAAAATGTCCACCTTATATTCTGCCAGCAATATTTTTCACAAAAAAATGTTTTTTTTCTTAAATACTCTATGTTCTTTTTTTCTTTTCTTTTGCTTTTGCATCTGGTCAATAATAAAAAGGAAAAGAAGAAAAAGAGAAAATTAAAGAAATTGAACAGGCATAATTCAGAAGGATTTTTTTTTGTTTGAAAGAAAAGTTAAATATAATTACCAACCTTAATTACCAACCTGAGATTGATTTGTATTATTCACAGCCATTTCCTATAAAAAAAAATGCAGCTGTTATTTTTTTTTTCTTCTTCTTCCATCTGCTTAGATTGAAGAGGACACTTGGCAGAAGTACTACCTGGAGGGAGTAGCTAATGAAATGTACACCGAATATCTTTCCAGTGCTTTTGTTGGTCTGTCGTTCCCTGCTGTTTGTGAGTAAGTACTTTTTGCAGCCATGACATCTTCTTTGCCTTTAATCCTAATCTGATTGTTTGCTAAAATGCTGAAAAAAACAAAGCAGTAAAGGAAGAATTTCCTGACAGCAGAAACTATGAAACAGTGGAACAACTTGCCTCCCGGAGTGACACGTGCTCCATCCCCGGAAGTTTTCAAGAAAAGATTGGACCACCAGTTCTCTGGAAGTAGAGATAGTTTTAGATTGCTAGAAAAGGAATACAAGAAGCATAAATAGTCAGCAGCAGTTTGATTTCTCTAGAGCTTCAGCAGTTCAGTAGTCCCAAGGGGTGCCTTTTTTTTTCAAGACACAACTGGACTTCCTTTTTTCTCTTTGAAGACGTTTCACTTCTCATCCAAGAAGATTCCTCAGTACTGCTTTATAAAGCCCTAGTGAGACCAAACCTCAAATACTGCAGCCAGTTTTGGTCACCATATCACAAAAAAGATGTTGAGAGTTTGGAACAAATTCAGAGAAGAGCAACTTCAGATAATCAAAGGCCCTGGAGACTAAAACATACGAAGAACGGTTGCGGGACTTGGGTTTGGCTAAAGAAAAGAAGCAACAGGGGAGATATGGTAGCAGCATTCTAGTATTTGAGGGGCTGCCACAAAGAAGAGGGGGTCATGTTATTCACCAGAGGGAAGGACAAGAAACAGTGGTTGGAAGCTGATCAAAGAGAGAAGCAATCTGGAATTAAAGAAGAAACTTCCTGACAATGAGGACAATTCATCGGTGGAACAGCTTGCCACCAGAAATCATGGGTGCTCCATCACTGGAGGTTTTTAAGAAGAGATCGGACAGTCACTTGTCTGAGATGGTATAGGTTCTCCTGCTTGAGCAGGGGGCTGGACTAGAAGACCTCCAAGGCTAGACATACTTGGCTGCCTCAACCATTCATCATATATCGCATCAGTCCCTAAATTTCAAACATCTAAATGTACTGACAATCAGTTGTATTTAGCAATGACTTTGGAATTTTTCTGCATCGTGTAGTCGCGGGGTAGGCGACCTTGGCTCTTTTATGACTCGTGGACGTCAACTCCCAGAATTCCTGAGCCAGCATGGCTCAGCTTGGAAACCTCTCCCTTTCCCCTCAGCATGGCTGGCTCAGGAATTCTGGGAGTTGAAGTCCACAAGTCATAAAAGAGCCAAGGTCGCCTACCTTGGCTCTTTTTAAATTTTTAATATACAATAAATGATGAATGTTTTAAAAATAACCTACTAAACAGCTTCACAATTCTTAGCCCATTTAATCTTCTTTAAGCCTAGAAAGAATAATTTATTATTATTAAATCGAGATTAAAAATCTTATTAGGTATGACATATGTTGGGTGTCTTATTTTAGTTTTTAATCCATATACATATCTCTAAATGGGGGTTAGATTAACATAAGAAGTAATTACATTTTCATACAGGCCATGACTAGCTCCAGTTTGTAAAATTTATGGATCCCTCCATTCCAGCAACTTAGAAATTTCCCAGAGATTGGAAATTTTGAAGAAGATCTGAAAGACTTCCATGTTTCTTGTTTTTGCTCCTTTTGGGACCACCTTTTACAGGGATGTTTTTCAAAAGCCACTTTTTCCAGCGTTCGTTGCTTTTGAATTTCATCCTGCCAATCATTTCTAAAACGGATTTCTAAATTAAGTAGTCATCACGGTAAGGGTTTGCTGTCATCTGCCAAAGGTTTATGATTGCCCCATTAACAGCCCACATTAACATTTCCCATGGCTACTTATAACGTCTAGCAGATGTAACGTCACGTAATCTGCTAAGCATAAAATTTGGGATGGCTTCCGTGACATTTTGCAATCTTTCCCAGAGGAAAGTTATTGTCGTGATAACGGCTCTGTGGAGGTTGGAACTCAGTCTTAAAACAATTGTTTTACACGGCCCTTAAAAAAAAAATATCCTGAGTTGATTACTGTCAATTTTATCTGATGTTAGGCATAATCATAAAGGAGGGAGGTTAATGAATTGTAGTTCTTATCCTCTAACATTAGAACACAGATGTAATCCTCAGCTGATGGAGCTTTACTTGTTTGTGCGGACCAGTTGCTGGCATGCCATAGACTAGTACTGGTCCACGGCCCAGGGGTTGGGGACCCTTGCTCTAGGGTCTCCTTCTTGAGCAGGGGGTTGGACTAGAAAACCTCCAAGGTCCCTTCCAGCTCTGTTCTCTCTGACTGACTGACTGACTGACTGTCTGTCTCTGTCTATCTGTCTGTCTGTCTGTCTGGTTGATTGACTGATTGAAATGGTTTAGGGCAGTGAGGGTGAACCTTTTAGAGACCCGAGTACCCAAAAACTGGCCCCACCTCTACTCCACCCTCCTGCCCTGCCCCCACTCTTCCACCCATCCCCTGCCCCCCCCACAGGACCACTCACCGCCTCCACGGCCCGCTGCAGATCGCCCAGGCAGCCCAGCAGTGCTATGGCGGTCATGCCCTCCGCCCGCGCCCTAGAGCATCAACTGTGCGGGATGGGGTATGAGGGCAGAGTCTTGTCTACACTGCCTGGCTGCCATTTTCTTGGCTGCGCTTCTCCGTGTGGGCCATGCTCGGGGGCGGCTCTCCTTCAGGGGGGCTGCTGGAGAGGAGGGGATCACGGGGGAGGCAAGGCTGGGGAAATAGCATGTGTGCCCACAGAGAGGGCTCCGAGTGCCGCCTCTGGCACCCGTGCCCTAGGTTCGCCACCACTGGTTTAGGGTCTCCTCCTTGAGGTGGCTGGACTAGAAGACCTCTAAGTTCCCTTCCAGCTCTATTCTGATCCAGACCTGATTCTGATCTACAGGTAGTCCTTGAATTATGATCCGTTGCTTAGTGGCTGTTCAAATTTACAATGGGCCCAAAAGGTACCTGGACACCGTTCTGTAGTTCCAGCGGCTGCCCCTTCTCGTGGTCAAATCATCTCACTCAGCTACTTGGCAAACAGCCCAAATCCATGGCCATGTGCAGTGCCCCGTCGTCACCTGACTGCAATTTACGACCCTTTTGCAAAAACCCAGTTTTCCTGCAAAAATGTTGCCTAGCATACAACGGGTTCCGCTTAATGACCCCAGCAAAAAAGCTCACGAAATTGCTTTGATCATGTGAAAACCAACTTTATGCCCGTCATGACTTAGGACTGCGATTGCCTTACTTGGAGTGGATTTTAGCTGCATGAATATTTTAGGCATGTAGAAAGGGCACAAAAGCTGAACTGTGCTTGATTTTGGGAAGGAATTGATCAAGCTCTACAAGCATAGAACATAAGATAATATAACTTTTGTTGTCATTTTTTTACTATGAGCACCCTGGCCCATATTAAAAATGAAATTCTGTTGCCTGCTTTTGAAAGAAAATATATATCTACCCATACACATATACTCATGATACATATATATCTATATATGTTTACCATATGTATACGTACGTATGTATGTACGTACACACACACATAAATATTAATCACTGTCCATTTTGAATACATAGTAGAAAAGGTAAAGATGAGAGTTGATAAGGTTGATGCTATATGGTCCAAATCTCTCAAAAGCGTTCACCACCTTTTAGATATTCTGAATTTTGCCTGTCTTTGCTGTTTAATGTTATCTTGTGATCAAAAGTCGACATTCTGCGACTAGCATGTATTTAGGACGATTGCCATGTGCTAGAGGCCATGTGATGATCATCTTCAATGATCTTCTGACAAGCACAGTCAATGGCGAAGTCAGATTCCTTGAACAAGCGGATTACCAGTGTAACAACTGCAGTGGTTCACTTAACAACTATGTCAAGAAAGGTTGGGAAATGAGGCAAAACTCACAACAAATGTCTTGCTTAGCAACATAAATTTTGAGCTCAATTGTAGTTGTATGTTGAGGACTGATCATTTGTATTCATTAATGTAGGGTTCTTCAAACTTGGCCCTTTTATGACTTGTGGACTTCAATTCCCAGAATTCCTCAGCCAGCCAAGTCCACAAGTCCTAAGAGGGCCAAGTTTGAAGATCCCTGCATTAATGGATCAAGAGAAGTTCCAAAATCATAAGGCAAGACACTGAAAATAACAGACATAGTTATTTTATGCTTATAGCAAGAAAATAACAGATATGGTTATTTTATACTTGCTTATATCAAGAAAATAACATGGTTATTTTATACTTACTTATATCAAGAAAATAACAGATATAGTTATTTTATACTTATATCAAGAAAATAACATATGGTTATTTTATACTTATATCAAGAAAATAACAGATATAATTTTATAGTTACTTATATCAAGAAAATAATATAGTTATTTTATACTTATATCAAGAAAATAACAGATATAGTTATTTTATATTTATATCAAGAAAATAACAGATATAGTTATTTTATACTTACATCAAGAAAATAACAGATATAATTTTATACTTACTTATATCAAGAAAATAACACAATTATTTTATACATATCAAGAAAATAACAGATATAGTTATTTTATACTTATATCAAGAAAATAACAGATACATATTTTATACTATATGAAGAAAAGAGATATAGTTATTTTATACTTATATCAAGAAAATAAGAGATATAGTTATTTTATACTTACTTATATCAAGAAAATAACATAGTTATTTTACACTTATATCAAGAAAATAAAAGATATAGTTATTTTATACTTATATCAAGAAAATAACAGATACATATTTTATACTTATATCAAGAAAATAACAGATACATATTTTATACTATATGAAGAAAACAGATATTTTATACTTATATCAAGAAAATAAGAGGTATAGTTATTTTATACTTACTTATATCAAGAAAATGAGAGATATAGTTATTTCCTACATATTTCAATGAATTAAACATATAGGTTCTACTTCCAATTTATGTCAGCCCCTTCTCTTCTGATTTAAATAGAGTAATTTATTCCTTTTTTTTTTTTTTTGGAAGGTAAGACGATCATGGTTTCCGTAAAGCAAATTATTAATGTATATCTGTGTTAAAAATCACCATGTTTCTGATGCTTCATAGTTAAAATAGATTTGAAAGCAACCTATGATGCCATTTCTGCTTTGGGAAGAATCTGAACATAAAATGCATATGGGGGAAAGGGCTTCAGAGGTGTATCAAAGCACAGTTCCTATGAATAATTGAGATCTTTCCAGCCAGATAAATATAGAGAACTTCTGTTGATGTAAGTATTTTGTTGTTATAAAAGGTCAGAGAGACTTTGACGAAGTTGAGGAGTGCAGGCAAAGAGCTAAACTACATTTTATAAAGGTCTGTATGTAGACAACCTTAAGAACAGCAAAGTACTCATGATATCAACAAAATAAATAAAATATTCTGCTTTTTTTTTTCCTTCCTCCATTTTATTTCTGGCAGGCTGGTCTTTGCGAAGCTAAAACTCTTAATGATAGCCATAGAATATAAGTCGGTGGAACGGGAAAGCAGGTATGTAACTGTCTAGCAAAACATTTTCATCGTGCATCTTTGATTATTTGGCCTGCTTGAATTTCTTTCTTACTTTCTTTCGTTCCTTCTTTTCCTTTCTTTGTTTCTTGCTATTTGGATGGGTGTTTATATTTATAAAAGAATTTTATATTCCAGGCACTCTGACATCGTGGTGCCAATATATACCTAATCAAATTCCAACAAAATTGATGAATTGATGGTTTTAATAGATGGTTTTAATTGAAATTGCCCTTAAAACAGTCCCCCTGCAATGTAGAACGGAAGTTCTCAGTTAAAATTGCACCTTGGCAGAGTTGATGAACGATAACTTAGAATCCCAGTTCAGTTCTTTCTCGGTAATTCTACAACTTATTCATAACCCAGTACAATCTAACCAGGGTAAGTATCTCCAAGTGACGTACATAAATCTATACATAGGATCGATGCAATTTGAGTCGTAGGGCAGAGCTTGGCTTCAAAGATCACAGAGTTCTGTCTGTTACACCAGGCAAATAGAGAAATGTTTCACAAAAAAGTAAACATGTTCTGCCAGATCATTATTCAAGTTCAACAGAAAATTTATCTACGGCTTCTTTTGGTCCATTATTACAAGCTTGGAATTATAGAAATCATATTTGGAAGACCATTTTAAAGTAACTCCATTCCCCATTATAACAGATACTAACCCAAGATAGTTAGCATTTCTGCTGAAAAAAATTCCCCTTTTCACAGTTCAAGGTGAACAAAGTTTTTTTTTTCCACCCTCTCCTTTATTTCTTCTCCTACTTAGACTAAAATCCTAGTAGAAGATGAGTTGCTGACTTCGGTGGTAGATTTGAGGGATCCTTCATGAGGTGTGAGCTCTGAGCCTGTTTTCTTGCAGACATTTCATTATGCAGACTAGGTAACATCATCAATGCTAGTCATTGGGTAATGAAACATCTGCAAGAAAACCACCAAGAGAGCACCAGGGACCCCACAATTCTCCTTCTCCTCCTCCTCCAATACCATCCCTTCTAGCACTGATGATGTTTCCTAGTTGGGTCCTGAAACATCTGCAAGAAAACCACCAAGCTCAGAGAGCACCAAGGACTCCTCATTTTAACCCTGAGCTATAAATGTTCTCCTTTAATGATAAAGGTAACATTTGGCAGCCACATCTGACATACCATCATAGTTATTATCACAGAACTGATCAAACCTGCTGGATCGACTGATGTGACCAGGAAGTGCTTTGAAAAATGCAAAGAATCAAAGATGAGTAGAAAATTAGAAGAAGCCTTGAAATAGATCAGTGTTTCTCAACCTTGACAATTTTAAGGCATGTGGACTTCAACTCCCAGAATTCCACAGCCAGCATGGCTGGCTGTGGAATTCTGGGAGTTGAAGTCCACATGCCTTAAAATTGTCAAGGTTGAGAAACACCGAAATAGATCCTTGGAATTCAACATCTCAAACGAAGAGTTTCTCAAATATAACTATGTTATATTTGTTCACCAAGATATCTTAGCACCAGGATGTAATTTCAGCAGAGATCGGTTCTTTGATGCCTATCATTTGCCCCTGTCATTTTTTAAAAAAACAATGTTCTCTTTCCACATTATTGATAGGTTTCGCCCCCCCCCTGTCAGTTTTTTTTATTTCCTTCTTCTTCATTGCTTTGTGAAGTGTGCGCTTTTCGTAAAACCCAGATTCAAATTTTCTAGTTAGGTCAACGTTTGGGGCAATCGTAACCCTGTTTTGTCATTTGCATCCCTTGTAAGAAACAATATGCAAAAGCGAAACAAAACAAAATATGTTGGTTTTATGTTATCAAATATTAATTTATTTTAGAGTCGTCCCACCTCCAAGAAGCACGAGCGTCAGCCTTTTCACCATTTCATTCAGGAATGCCTTGAAAATAAATGCTGGCCCTCCGCAGCTCCCTTGATACAATCTAAATGAAAAAGCAAAACTTGATTTTGACCCAGGCTGCTCATTACTAAAATGGATAACAAACACACATGAAATATTAACAACAATTGCTTGCCCAAGCTTTCATTAAGCACTTACATTCATGAATTCCATGTCGGTTCCTTTGCCGTAATTTCTTTTTTTGCAAATTACTATCGTGTGTAACAGCCGCCATTTTCCTTTCAGAAGTACTGGACAATCTCTTTCCCCTCTAATTGAATGGACCCTCTTTGTGGCCTTCAAAAGGACTTGAGGATTACATATTAGATTAGCCCAGGGGTCTTCAAACTTGGCCCTTTTATGACTTGTGGACTTTGTGCTTGGCTGAGGAATTCTGGGAGTCGAAGTCCACAAGTCATAAAAGGGCCAAGTTTGAAGACCTCTGGATTAGCCTCTTCTAGAGTAAGGAAGAATCCAGGGAATTTAGACAGATAAGGCTTGAAAGAGTGATTTGCAAGCAGAATTTTCTTTTAAATGCAGGTAAGCAGAACCAAGGTCATCAATGACTGATCCTATAGTCATATCAACACGTCTATTCAGCAGTAGATACATAGAGTTGAAAATGGTCTGCTAAAAGTTTTGCTCAAACCTTAAATCATGTTTCTGACATGTGGAAAATCATAGCCCATAGCAACATGCTCACCTTGTTGACTGAATCTTTGGGGAGGATGCGTTGCCCGTTGTCCCCACACAAAATGTGTGTATTGTGAAAACAAGCAGCGAAATTGGTCCTTCTTCCAATTCCAGCTGGATGATGGATCTGAGAATCAAGGTATCCTGCTGACATCCCTTTGCAGTTGTGTTTTTTTTTTTTTTCACTACGGCTTTGGTTCTATGCGCCATGGAATATTTGGCCGTTTGGATCAAATAAGGATACCTTGCTGAATTTTTTCTTTTTAAGAAATATAGTCCATAGGCCTTTGATGTTCCTTGAATTTTCAAGGAAAAATAAAAAAGTAAAAAAAAAAAACTATACTTTTTGAGAAAATTTCTAAAATAACGGTGAAATTCCACACGAGCCCGTTAAAAAGCCACAATATCTCTTTCTCTCTCTCTCTCTCTCTTTTTTTTTTTTTTTGTCAAATTCTAATTTGGGGGTGGCTTTATTTATTTATTTGCCAGCTCTAATAAAAAAAAGTGGAACATAAAAATAATAATTAAAAAAAAATAACATTCTTCTCTCACATCCTCTCCCCCGATGTTTGTCCCTCTGTTGGACTTTTTTCCTTGTCTCTCTCCATTTTATTTGTCCTCATTTGTAACACAACTTCCTTTTTTTAAAAAAAAAATAAATAAATTTTAAAAAAAGGAAGGAAAATAGCTTTGGAAAATTTCAAAATAAAAGTGTTGTGGGGTTATTAACTTTTATTTATTTATTTCATTTCGGCCTTTTTTTTTTTTGGGTGTCCGTTCATTTCTTCTCCAAATGTTTGATTTGCAATTTTTTTTTTCTTGTCGTTTGCAGAAGCCGAAAACGGTATGCTCTCTTCGTTATCTTTCCTTCCAACCTCAACCCTACCTCCAATCCTTCTCTAACTTCAGGACTAATTCCTTACCAAGAATACAGGAAGATAACACCTTTGTCTATCTTTCATATATATATGTATATGTATATATATGTATATATAAAATATATAGTATATATGTATATATATATATATATGTATATAGGTCTTTGGTTGTTCGGGTTTTCTCCCGCGTAAAATTGGAAGTGTCTTGGCGACGTTTCGACGAAGTCCCATTCGTCATCTTCAGGCTGGTGTTTTCAGTTTCGTGCTTCGAGCAGCTAAGACCACACATTGCTGCTCGAAGCACAAAGCTGAAAACACCAGCCTGAAGATGACGAATGGGACTTCGTCGAAACATTGCCAAGACACTTCCAATTTTACGCGGGAGAAAACCCAAACAACCAAAGACCCACATATATATATATATCCCCAAAGTTTCAAAGAGGAGAGAACATTTGATAGCAACAGTTGGTTTCTTCATTGTTTTTTTTTTTTTTTTTTTGGTGTATGTGTGTCTTCTGCACTAACTTCTTTGCAGGAATAACGCTCCGTATAAATTAAATTTAGTCCCGTTGCCTTAGGAGAAATGATTAAGGTGATAGGAAAAATTATCTCAGATTTCATTCAATAGGAAAATTGTCTCTCCTGTCCAGTACTCCTTTTCCTCTGTTTTATCTGCTTGTGTTTTGTTGCAACAGTGTCTGTTTCGTGTCTATTAATTTTTGCTACGTGTTGCTTTTACGTTTGCCCCCCCTTGTTCAAATTCCCGCATCAAACGTTCTTCCAGAGTTTCTGTTCCACGCGGTGCTCCATACCATCCCTTCCGCTATTCATTAGTAGAGTCCAAATGCCTTTTCAGCTTTGTTTGTTTTGTTTTGTTTGTTTCGCTTTCAGTTTTGAGCCTAACACTGAATCAGAATAACTGAAATATCACCCCACCCGGAAGCTACTACAGCTCTAACGAAGGCCCTTTGTGTAGCTTTTTTTGTAGAAAAACTGGAATATTTGACTGGGTTGACCTTTGTGCCGGTCTGTTTTGCGTTCATCGTGCTGATACTCAGTACGGAACGTGAACCAACCTTCCATGCAGTTGTTGTGTCTTGGAAAACAACAAGGCATGGGTCACCAAATCCCTTTTGATTTCTCTTTAATTTCATTCATCTGAAGGCCTCCAACTTCACCCTGGCATTGCTTCCTTCTTAACCGCTCCTGATGAGCCTTTTTTGAATGGCATACGCCCGAATCGATTATTTTTTTTCTCCTGTTCCCGCTTCTGTCTTCTCATTCTATGTAGTCTGTGACCTTCTTCTGTTTCGTTCTTCTATCCTGTGGATTTGGAGTAGATTTGTGAACAAGAGACCTGGCTTCCTGACAGTTTGGCATTATTCATATGATCCAACTGCAGAGAAGTTACTGCAACACTTGGCATCTTCCAAGGATCTGCAGATGTTGCACCTCTTAAATGGCTTCTTGTTTACCAGTAATTTTGAACCTCGTGGTAAAGGCATGCCTAGTTGTGTGGAGAAAAAAAAAAGTGTATGATTGAAAAGTGTTCTGCCTTGCTCCCAGTATGGAATGACACAAATCTCACTTAAGTTAGAGCATCGGTTGCTCGTTCGTGGGCACTCTTCGGCTTCGGAAGATGTTGGATTTGATCCACTTTGATGGAAAGCAAATTTGGGCATCGTAAAAGACAGCTCCTAAATCTTTTAGCCATTCCCATTTATGATGAAAGACTTAATTCTCTGGGAGCAACACTTAGAACAGCTTGCTGTAGTGAGCAATAGTGCTCTGTAGCTTTACGTGTTTTGTCATTTGCCTTCTCGTTGGTGTCTATGGTGATTTATTTTCCTCTTTTTTGTAAACCTGTATTAACATTAGCTGGAAAAATCCTGGAGAGGGCTAGCAGAGAGATTCTTTGCTCCCCAAAACCAATACTTGTGCATGTCCCTATATGATTTCCAGAAACTCATAAAGGAAAAAAAAGTATTTTTTTTCTGTCATTCATAAATACTTCAATGAGTAAAGTTCATTTTAAGGAGATCTTAGGGGACTGTTTGCCATAACCTGTGGACCAATCTTCAAGAAAACTTTGCTTGCAATCAGGAATGTCCCATCTCTCTTAAACTAAATACAGCACTGCATCGTGGGGGTGAAAATATATATTTTATTGTGATCTTAATTGCACGGGGAATGGTACAGCACATCTACCATAGCATGAAAGTTATTACTATGGCTTTTTTTGGTCACTCATCCCATTGAAAAGCATTAATATTCTACCTATATCTGCGTTCAGAATATTGTAGATGTTTGAGTATGCTTTCAGTGCTGAGACATACAAGACAGAAATTTGGACTTATTCGCTGATGCAACAATATACATTTTAATGTTCTGTTCTCATTTTTTTCCTTGAGAAATATTAGAGCAGTTGATGTGCCATTAGCTTCCCTAGTGTTCAAGACCTAAAAGAAAATATTGGCATTTTATTTACAAGAAGGGTCTCTAACTATCAGAAGGAGATTGAAAGTTAAACTGCATGTTGCGTTAAGCATGTAACGTATACAGTAACTGACCTACTGTTCTTTTTGGCTCCAAAGAAAATTGAGAGAGAATTATTATAGGCTGAGAATTTTTCTTTTTTAAAGCTTAATTTTATCCACCCCCAGCCATTTGTTTTCTGAAATTCTATCTCCTTCGTGGATGTTAGGAATAAAGGATAAAAAAATGTCCAGGCAGCAAACAACATAAGTAAAATGCTAAGAAGCGGTGCCAGCTTTGAGGGTAAGAGAAGATTGATCAGAATGAGGGAAGCAGATTTATACCACTGCAATACAAGACTTATTTTTTCCTATGCATGTTGCAACATTGGACCCAAATGGAGGGAGACCCTTGCAGAATGATGTTGTGACATTGTTTTGGTCAAAATGATGCAAGCGACAAGATCCCATCCCCTGTGTTTATGAAGATTGCAATCTAGGGATCCTACTTCAGAAGTCAGGAATCCCTGTGGATTTTACTCTGACTACATAGGGCAGCGGTTCCCAACCTTTTCTATACACCTCACCCCTAGAACGCTTCTGATATATTCTCACACCCCTTACCAAAAAATTATGCATATACACTATAGTTTTGAAACTTCCAAACCCCCTGGAAGTTTTCACATCCCCTGGAATGTTGTCTTGCACACCCAGTTGGGAACCCCTGACATAGGGGATGGTGCTCATCTCTGTTTCAAGACCATTGTACACTGAAGTGGTACCTATTTATCTACTCACGTTTACATGTTTAGCAGGAGCTGAGGGGAGGTCGGGAGCTCACTCTCTCACATGGCACAGTTCTTGAACCTGTCTGTTTGCTTTCCAGCCTACAAACCCAGCATCTTTACGGCCCATCAAACATAAGAGTTGGTGGTATATTCTGTGCTTAATGTAACATGTAGTTTGACCCATAGAACTGGAAGCTTTAATTTCATGGATGGAGCAACGGTTGAACAGTTTGACCCACATTTCAAATTTGTCTTAAGATTGAGCTAAGGCAGGTACAGTTCTACTGAAATTTTACACTTTCCTAGCAGGAAATAATATCCACTGCCTTATTAAATATGTCCCCTTGTCCTAAATCAGTGTTCCATAACCTCAGATATTTTAAAATTTGTGGATTTCAAGCTGCCAGGATTCCCCACTAGTCTAAATGGTAGTTAAATAACGAATGAATATTCACAGGACCGTTTTAGATCAGTTTCTTTACAATGATACGGATGTTTCTGCCGTATAGTTCACTCTGTCTTTCATTTATCCTACAATGAGAGCCACATTAAGTTGGGAGATAGAAGAATGTCAGCTGAAGTTTAACTTTCTGGCCAATCGCAGTAGGACTATCGTTAATTCTGATCTTACTGAAGTTCATTTGAATTAATATTTAACAGAAAACAATTGAAAATATTACTTCAGGCTGGAAGGAAAAGAACTGCGAATTTTGCTTGCTGTTTAATTACATGCAGCTTTTAGTATTTTAATATGATGTTAATTTGGCAATGATTTTAGCAATAGCGACCAATGCTCCATATAGAAATAAACCAAATATATATGTATATTAAAACATGGATTCATAATCAACATAAATTCATTATTCATGATAAACAGGCAAAATAAAACTGAAATGTGGATTGCATTGTATATTAAAAGTCAAATTACAATGGAAGAATACTGAATAATAAGAATAGATAGAGGAACTATAAAGCTTTTAGTTTTTCCCCATCGAGAACAAATAACTAAAAAAAAAGAACCCTTTACTTTGGAACAACGGTAGAAACTTGAGAAAATAAATAATTAAATGATGAGAACTCAGGAATAAAATTCAGGGATAGAAATGCCTCTCTGATAATTGTGTGATATGATATCTGAAACTTTCAATATGGTTTAGCAATTGTATGGGACAAAATGCCAGAGAGGAATCTATTTCCTGCATTCAAGGTTAGATTTTGCTATTTGGGGTCCAGCCAAAATGTCGACACTTCCACCCTGCGTATGACGTGCTAATCTCCCTGAATTCCCCGTGGCTTTTGCATCTTTTTATCACCGCTTTTTTTTAAAAAATATGATTTATATTCAGGAAATCTGCCCCAACAGAAGTTGCACAATTAAAGATGTCTGCCAGGCCTAAAGCAGCCCAGATTTTGGACATTGAAAAAGGTTACCCATCTTATGAACAATCGGACCCCCTTCCTTGTATTTTGTTTTAATAATAATAACAAGGATTTTCTCTTCAAGTCAGTGTTGAGTCCCTGCAGTTTTCTTGGCAACATTTTTCAAAGGTGGTTTGTGCTCTGGCCTTCATCTCCTTCCTAGGGCTGAGAAAGAGGGACTAGCCCAAGGTCATAAAGCTGGTCTTGTACCCCAGGTAAGATTAGAACTCACATTCTCCTAGTTTCTAGCTTGGCACCACCTTAACCACCACACCAAACTGGTTCTGAACTCAATATTGATTAATAATAGAACTAGCAATAGCATTTAGACTTATATACCACTTCACAGTGCTTTACAGCCCTCTCTAAGTGGTTTACAGAGTCAGCCTGTTACCCCCCACCAACCTAGGTCCTCATTTTACCGACCTCAGAAGGATGAGCTGGTCAGGATTGAACTGCTGAACAATCGGCAGAATTAGCCTGCAATACTGCATTCCAACCACTGCACCACCACGGCTCTCATTTTAATAATCCCAAAACAACCGGAGCACCTCTTGAATACCATCAACATTGACAAATTTGCCATCAGTCAATGGCAAAAGTCAACTTTACTTGGAACAGCTTCCATCCTCTGACGCTTTAACACCATCAAACATCCACATGTACCTATCTCAGGGCTTTAGGAAGGACTGGATAGGTGGACAAAAATGCCATTCCTATTCTGAACATCTGAATAATAATAATAATAATAATAATAATAACAACAACAACAACAACCACAACAACAAAATAATAATAACAACAAAATAACAAAATAACATAATATAATAATAATAATATATTCTTTTACGCAAATATATGCTACTAATTATTAAGCTCAGGATCATCCTTTGGATCTTTGGCTTATCTCCTAAAACAAATTAAAAATTAAAAAGCAAAACATTTTGCTACATTAAAAAAAAAAGCTAAAGAGAGAACTTCCATATTTGAAAATAAATCTCAGGTTAAATTCAATGGCAACTGGAGGTTAGCTGTTTCATAGAGAGAGAAAAAATCCACCTCTTTTACATCGTTCACGTCTATTGCTAATTGCCTTAGCAATAATCAAGGAAGATGTAAAAGAGGTTTTGGATGGAATTAGATGGATTGACCTGCTATTGAAACCATCTTGTCATTATCGATCTAGGAAAGAGAAGTGGAGATTTTGTAATTAATGCCGGTTATTTTTCTCTTCTCCAACGCAATCGTGGAGATGCTAGATACTTTAGGCCTGATAGTAAATCTGAAAACAGTTTCCACTTAGCAGCATTGTGTCTAACCACAGGATCTTCCTGCAAAATTATGTGCCCTTCAAATATTTCCAGAAGAATACCATTTACGAGCAGATAGCAGAAAGAAGCAGGATCCATTTACTCTCAAAAGATAATCCCAGGAAACTCTACCGTGTGTATCTCGCACTGTTTGTGCCGTGTTCATATATATGTGCTTTCGCTGTCTCATTCCCTTAAAACATGTTTTCTACTAAGTCCCAATTGATTCTAATCATGGCAGTCTTTGTTTCCTACAAACATTGCATGCACGCTTAACTCTTTTCTAACTTAACAAAGATAAAATTGTGAGTTGAGAGAGAGAGAAAAACAACCATCAAATTTCCCTTAGAAGCTCCGTTAAACTGCTTTTGAAAATATTCATTTTCAAAATGCTTTGGAAAGGTTTTTGCGGAAATCCTTCAGACCTCACACGTACCTCTCTGATCCTCCTTCTTCCTTGAGGCATCAACATTTCGCCTGAAATTCACGTTACACAAATTCATGCTGGGAAAAAGATGGTCTGCTTTAATGGAAGCCAGAGAGACGCAAGACGGGAAGCACGCTTCCGAAGCACCTTTAGTCCTAGAAAATAGATATTGCAAGGGGATTGGCTTTTTCAGCAGCACAGACGGATTACAACAATCAGTGACTGCCATTGTGTAAACCAGAGGTCTCCCAACTTGGCCACTGTAAGATTAGTGGAACTTCAACTCCCAGAATTCTCCAGCCAGCATCTCTTAAGGTTGCCAAGTTTGGACATCCCTGGTGTAAACCATTATCTTGGACTGGGGCATTAAAAGTTAATGGGAAATTGCCCATGCCTGTGACTTTCCAGGAAGAAACCAATTTTGTGAATTCACCTGGACAAGCCTTTTGTTGAGCTACGTTAACCTCGTGCTTTTTTGAAACAGTGAGAATTCTTCCTTCGTAGGATGTGTTCCATTAAAATAAGAAATGTTAAGAAAGTGGAGCAGGAGCAGGTCGTGGGAAGATGCACATGGGACATAGAATCATCTAGTCCAGGGATGTCAAACTCGCAGTGTCACATGATATGTTGTGATTTTTTTTTTCCCATTGCTGGCAATGGGGTGGGCATGGTTTTGCCATGACACACCCAGCCCATGGGCTGGCAGTTTGACACCCCTGATTTAGTCCCTTTAAAACAAACATCCTTTGAAAATCTTGGCACTCACTAAATAGAGACCAGGCACATTCCTACAATGTCTTCCACATTACATATTTGTCGATTACATTTTTAATCTGTCCAGTTATCAAAGTTTTCTAAGACTGGGGCCTCCAATCTGGGCAAAGTCAAGACTTGTGGACTTCAACTCCAGACTTCTGGGAGTTGAAGTCCACAAGTCTTGAAGTTGCCCAGATTGGAGATCCTTATTCTAAGAGGAGAATGAATCTGTATGCAAAGGAAAATAAGACACAGTAAACTATAACCATATTCTATTGGGGGGGAGGGGATATTTCTTGTGAGATGACCATATATGACCGCTTAACATGTGGTTGATGTATTCACTTGCATCCTAGTAGATTTGACACCTCCTCTTGATGTCACATGTTTGGAATTGATAGAACATTCAATACTCAATGGGTGAAACCTGTAAATGTCTACCAAAACTTCCATATTTACAGATGCACAAGTTAAGTTACTTCATGATCAGCTTCTCTTCCTCCCAAAAGCAGGGGTTAAGACCCAGGCCATGCTCTGTTAAAATGTCCCTTGGTTTGACCAAAGTCTTCATTCCTGTTGAAGAACGTACATCATAAATCCAGAAGTCACTCCGATGAGATTAGTCTAAATCTTGAAACGCGGTTGATTTGATTTTTCAAGCAAGGATGAGTCATTTGTTTTGACTCATTGACCACGGTCTGGAAAAGGGGCTTTGGGATGGAGAAATGATTAACCACGATACCCGATTCCTGTTTTCTTTAGCAATTGTAAATGGTTGTCTTGTACCATTCCCCCTAAGCATATGAATAAATATGTATGTATGTATTACGCTATAAATCATGTGATTGAGAGTGATGGGGGGCCCATTAATAACACCCCACTTCAACAGAAATTGGCACAAAGGGCTAAGCTGCCAGAAGACTGGGGCATTTTTCCTCAAGCAAATGCTTTCCGTGGGAATCATTTTTCCTCGCATCAATCATCATGATTTTGTTAATTTTTATCCCAGAGCAAAAAAAAAAAAATCAAAGCTTTTTGTACATTCCCCCCCCCTTTCTACCCCTAACTGAAGTCGCTCAGGCCTTGAGCAAAGTTTTAAGATAAAGACTTGAGTTGAACTCACTTTCAGCCTCAGTGTTTCAATACAGCTCATGCTTTGAAACCTTTTGTAAAAATGGCTTCTAGTTGCCATTTTTTTCCTCTCTCTCTTTTTTTGGATTTACCAAACTAATGGGCCCCCTATAACGAAGCAATAAGAAATAACGAATTTGGTTTCGCAGCTGAAAAGTAGCATGCTGCTACAAGCATTCTCTCTCTCTCTCTCTCTTTTTTTTTTTTTTGATTTCTGTTTGTCATTTTGTTCCATTTTACTGGCCAGCATATTAATCAATCCTGGGAACCACGTGAAAATTCTAGAAGGAACGCTAGGATTCTTCATTGCAAGTGATTCCAAAGAAGTGAAAAGGTAAATGTTTGGTCACTCGGGTTCTTCTTCTTCTTCTTCTTCTTCTTCTTCTTCTTCTTCTTCTTCTTCTTCTTCTTCTTCTTCTTCTTCTTCTTCTTCTTCTTCTTCTTCTTCTTCTTCTTCTTCTTCTTCTTCTTCTTCTTCTTCTTCTTCTTCTTCTTCCTTCTTCTTCTTCTTCTTCTTCTTCTTCTTCTTCTTCTTCTTCTTCTTCTTCTTCTTCTTCTTCTTCTTCTTCTTCTTCTTCTTCTTCTTCTTCTTCTTCTTCTCCTCCTCCTCCTTCTCCTTCTCCTTCTCCTTCTTCTCCTTCTCCTTCTCCTTCTTCTTCTCCTTCTTCTTCTTCTCCTCCTCCTCCTTCTCCTTCTCCTTCTCCTCCTCCTCCTTCTCCTTCTTTTCTCCTCCTTCTCCTTCTCCTCCTCCTCCTTATTCTCCTTCTTCTTCTTCTCCTTCTTCTCCTTCTCCTTCTCCTCCTTCTCCTCCTTCTCCTCCTCCTCCTCCTCCTCCTCCTCCTCCTCCTTCTTCTTCTTCTCCTCCTTCTCCTCTTCCTTCTCCTCCTCCTCCTCCTCTCCCCCCCTGCTCCTCCTCCTCCTCCTCCTTCTTCTTCTTTCGTTCCTTATTACAGGTAGTCCTCTATTTACTGCCACAATTGGGCCCAACATGTTCATTGTTAAGCCAGATAGTTAATTAAGTGAATTTTGCCCCATTTTACGACTTTTCTTGCTGCAATTAGTAAATGAATCACTACAGATGTTAAGTCAGTCACACATCCTTGGGACGATAGAGAAGAAAAAAAAAAATGTACGCCATTCTCTTAACTGCGTTGAGCAGAAATTCTCCCCAATCCAGAGAGCGTTCAGAATCTAAGCCGAGTGTAGGTTTTTAAGAAGAGACTGGACCGTCATTTGTCTGAAAAGGTATATGGTCTCCTGCTTGAGGAGGGGGTTGGACTAGAAGATCTCTAATGTCCCTTCCAACTCTGTTCTCCTGTATTCAGCTGCAAAGGTAGCGTGGCGCTGCAATTCCCAGCAATAAATGCTATCGTTCTGCATTTCTTCCACAACCATATTTGAATTCCTTCAGAACATTAATCCGTGTGGAACTAAGTGGAACAAATAAGTCTTTTTTTTAAAAAAAATGCATAAAAAAATTGAAAATCAGGGGTCTTTGAAACTGCAGTTTCTCTGCCAAGAATGTCCCCCCTCCCCTCTTGTGTGTTTGGATAACTCAAACTCAAACACCCAAGATGGGATTTTGAAATTAAGTGTCTCATAGCCAACATTTCCTTTCTGAAATGTCTAAACCAGGGGTAGGCAACCTTGAAGGTTGCCTACCCCTGGTTTAAACCTTTCCGAAGATTAAAGGAAATTAAGGCTGGCGTGTTTTATTAATTTGGCACTTTTCGCGGAGAGGAAATGCGGAGCTAATTTCATTTGTACGAATTGAGAGAAGCGTCAGTTTTATCCTCTTTCTCTCCCTGTTCCAGGGCCTACTTTTATTGCAAGGCGTGTCACGATGACATCACCGATCCCAAAAGGATAAAAAAATGTGGCTGTAAACGATGTAAGTAATTTTTAATCCACAACACACCCTTCTTCTTTTTTTTCCCCCTCTAGGCTTTTTTTTAAAAAAAACAACACTTTAACCCAGTTTCTGGGATTTATACATGGATGGAAGGTGGGTAGGGGAGCAAAAAGCAAATTTGTACCACTTTAGCAATACAGCCAGTCCTTGACTTAACAACCATTCATTTAGTAACCAAAGTTACAACGGCACTAAAAAAAAAAGTGACCTGGGACTCATTTTCTGACTTACGGCCCCATGGTCACATGATCAAAATTTGAGTGCTTGGCAACTGACTTGAACTTAGAACAGTTGCTCTGTCATGTGATCACCATTTGTAACTTTCCCAGTGGCTTACAACAAACAAAACCAACGTGGGAAACAGATTCATTTAATGACCTCATGGTTTTCCTTAACAGACGCAGTGATTCCCTTAATAATTGTGGCAAAAAACGGTCATAAAATGGAGCGCAAGTCCCTTAACGACTGCCTTGCTTAGCAACGGAAATGTTACGGCCAATAAGTCAAGGACTTCCTGTACATGTAGGAAAGCTATAGAGCTGTTACCCATCCTTGCCTTGTCTTTGCAATCTAATTTCTTTAGGAAATGTCATTTTTAAAAAAAGTCATTTTAACGTGGAACATTTATGCCGTTCGATCCTTAGAACTTCAATTCAGATTATTGGTCTTCTTTTGTTCTTGGAATTGGGAGTAACAATTTCCCAACGTAGTTCTAATAAGCTATGTCAGGTTTTGGGTTGTGGTTTTTTTTTTTTTTTTAAAGTTAGGCTTATCCATATCTCCTTATCTTAACTATCACTACTCAGAGGATCATACAATGTAGAAAGATGCTGGCACTTTTTTCCTCCTCTTGAAAAGAAAATTAAACATCTGTCTTGGTCTGTAGTCCCTTTGCTTGTCCCTTCAGAAAGGAAAGTTTTCACGGCTTAATAATATTCCTTGGAAACAAGGAAATGCTCATACATATCAATTGTTATGCATCTCATCCTGGTCATGCTTATTTTCCTCGTAGGCTACAGACCATACAATTTACCATTAAGTAAATGGATCAAGATCATGAAGAGAGCTTCCAGCATTTTGAGGAAGGGGGGTCTAGGACAGTGGTTCTCAACCTTTCTAATGCCGTGACCCCATAATACAGTTCCCCATGTTGTGGTGACCCCCAACCACTTATACATCACCGGGTGCTAGGGGCGTGGCCAAAGAAAAGGGAGAAAAAATGGTGGACAGCCTTGTCTGGCAACCCCCGTGAAATGGTCATTCGACCCCAAATGGGGTCCCGACCCACAGGTTGAGAACCACTGGTCTAGGACAACTCACCACGGCCAACTCGCTGTCCCCGTGGGACAAATTATCTTGGCCAATTTGTCACGGGACAATTTGCCGCTCAACAAGAGTTGCGCTAATACCGAAGAAATGTGATCACCGAAGGAAGGAGGCCAAGGGGGAGACAAAACAAAATCCAAATGACAACAATTAAAATAATCAGTTAGTTTAAACAATTAAATGGAATTGGGGAATGGTTCCGCGGCGAATTGTCCCCGCGGAGAGGTGACCGTGGCAAGTTGTCCCGTAGCGAATCAGTCGTGGAGGGTTGGTTGAAGTGAGTTAGCTGTGGCAAATGGGCAAGTTGGCTGCAGTGAGTTGCCCCTTTGCGCTTTGAGGGGTATGACTAGATTCGGAAAATAACCATCAGTTCCATTTCATAAGAATTAATGGACAATTTCAGTGGTACCAAGAAGCTGCACGCAGTCATGAAAACTGATCGAAATATGCTTGATTTAAGCCACTAGATTTCTTGCATAAACCAAAGGCTTCATTTAGAGCAGTGTTTCCCAAACTTGACAATTTTAAGGCATGTGGACTTCAACTCCCAGAATTCTGTGGAATTCTGGGAGTTGAAGTCCACATGCCTTAAAATTGTCAAGTTTGGGAAACACTGATTTAGAAGAATGTTATACTCCTGCCCCCACCCCACCCCACCCAGATTTGCTAACAAGTATCCCAGTAAAACCTAGAAACTCAAGAGAAAACGAAGGCCGGAGAGCAAAGTTTTGTAAACAGGTGAATGAAATGCAAAAGAACATCTTCTTTGCGGGAAAAATTCATATAATTATTTTGGCATTAATTGCACGCCGCTTCCTGGACTAGTTGAAAGCCACGTTCTTTAATAATGCATCTGAGGTTTTACGTCCCTTCAGATGTTTCTGAATATTAGCTTTGGTATTGTCAGGGTGTCCAAGTACGTCTGACCTACATAGCTATTTGTCCAAACCTGTTAAGCCAAATATTAATAATTCAGCAAACAGCTCTGAAGCGTCACAAAACCAAGGGTAATTAGAGAATCTGTGTTGGTTGGAAATGAATTTCTTGCACAAAGATCCATATTGTAGAAGGCTGTGATGTGTGATGTGTCTGGTTTTGGATCTTATTTTGATTCCTAATTTTCTAATTTTAATTTAAATTGGAATGAAAGAGGAAGAAAAAAAAAGATTTAGCTCTGCGTACACATTGCAATTAACCAAATGTACTTTTGTTAACATTTTAGTCAGTTGAGTTACTGAATTAATTCACTGGAAATTGTTTGGTTTCAGCCTTAGTGTGCCGCTCAGTAACATCATTTTTTAGTAAAGCAACAAGTTCCATGTTAGAAAGGGTGTTTCTGACAGGAGGGAGATACCTGCCCCCCCCAAAATAAGCATGCATGATCCTCCCCCCCAAATCTATGAAACTCTTTAAAGAAAGTTTTTAACAAAACCATTGTTGTATTTGTGCGCTGATCCCCATTGATTGAGCACGGCAAGATTCATCGTTAATTGATTCGAGTTTATGTAGCTGAATTACAGTTCTAAAATTTTGGACACAACCATTGGAGATGAACGTTCCAGCTGAAATGCTGTGCTTACTCATTCCTTTCATCCTTGTATTAAATCATTTTGTTTCCAGCTGGGATCCTTTCTCCTTTGCAAGATTGCAGCTACAAGATAATAGTCCGTGTGTACACTGATATTTACAAAAAAGATTTGCCTGAACAGATGATTATTGACAATGTTATGATTTATTTATTTTTTCTCTTGCTGCCTTGGAACACGGCCCATACTATATTTTAACTACACACTGATAGTGATCTATTGTGAGTAACAATGGGTTCCTTGTAGCCCAGAGTGCAGTCTGATCTGTCTTTCTTCCAGTGGAGGATATTCATTTGTTTTCTTCTTTTTATTTTATGTTGCATGAAGCAGTGGCGTCTCCTATCCCCGTTATGTTTTATGCCCATGTAAGCTGGAGCAACCTTGAAAAAAAAAAACCCAGCAATATTTCTTCGTTTCCTTTTGGTTTCGTCCCTCTCTTTTCTCCTGTTTGTCCCCTTCCAATCAACCGTATTTTCATCACTGAAAATCAGAATGTTACAGCATCTCGACCGAATCGATTGACAGTTAGGAAATCGTCTTGTTTGTTTGTTTGTTTGTTTACCAGCTGCTTTAATGGTTGGACGAGGGACTAAAATGATAGAGATGATAGAAGCAAGGACTACAGTATAAACCAGTAATTTTCTCCGGCTGGGAAACCCCTGGGATGATTATTCTAAGCCAGGCATATCAAACTTGCGACATCACGTGACGTCGCATGACGTATTGGAGCTTTTTTGCCATTGCCGGCAATGGGGTGGGCGCAGCTCCGGTATGATGAAACCAGCCCGCGGGCTGGCAGTTTGACACCCCTGTTCTAAGTGATGCAACAAAAATTGTTCTAAGAATATAGATAATCCTCGACTTACGATCACAACTTACGAACCCAAAATTTAAGTGGGCTTTGCCCTATTTTTACGACCTTTCTCACCACAGTTGTTAAACGAACCACTGCCACTATTAAGTTAGTAACACAATTGTAAAAGTCAGTCTGGCTTCCCAGTTGACTTTGTTGGACACGGCAACCATCATAAACAAACGCAAGGTGGCAATCCTCTGAATTTCGACCACGTGACTCCGTGGGGGATGCCGCCAGCAGTCATAAGTTTGAAAAACAGTCACAACTCGCCATTTCTAGCCTGGCTACTTGAACCACTAAACTAAACAGGTCTAATGATCAAAGGACATATTATGAGAGTCACAGAGCAAAGCGAAAGGATTTCTTGGGTTTCACATAGAAAATCTGTTTTTCGGGAGGTATATAATGAAGGGAAATACCAAATTTATCGCTGAAATTGGATTAAACGTACCTGTGATTTTTGATCCGGGCCAATGTGAACACGCAACCAAATTTTATCCTAAAGGGTGATACAGCTCAAGCGTACAGGAGCAGCGAATCAATTTTACGTTGAACTTTTCTGTCTGTCAATGCATGTGGATTAGGGCACCGATGTATAATTTAAAACCTGGGTGTAAACTTTGCAGGCCATTCAGCATTGGGCTGTCAAGCCATCTGAGGCCATGAGATTCAAGAAGAACTTTAGATGTGGTCAAGATAACTTTGGTTTCATCCAGGAGTTCCTCAACTCTTTACACAGCCCTGAAATTCATTTTATGTGACTTGGTGTTTTCATAAGGGACTGTTTGTTAGCGATGCCCTACTTGACCCCCCTCCATCTCAGCTCCTCTTCTAGGAAGTGATCACATTTGCCTCCTTGGTTTAGAATAGCTGGTAGAGATGATGATGATGATGATCGTGATGATGATAATAATGGTAGCAGTAGTAGTAGTAGTAGTAGTAGTAGTAGTAGTAGTAGTAGTAGTAATAGGCTCCTTGGGTGCAATCACAAAACAACTGGAGCACCACTTGAACACCATTGGCATTGACAAATTTGCTATTAGTCAATTGCAAAAGGCGGCCTTACTAGGAACTGCTTCCATCCTGTGACGATATCAATACCATCAAACATCCACATCTGCCTATCCCAGGTCCTGGGTAAGGACTCGATAGGTAGACAAAACGCCAAATCCAGTCTGAACATCTGGCTGACTGTGCGATGATCAATAATAATAATAATAATAATAATAATAATAATAATAATAATAATAATAATAATAGTAATAGTACCATCAAACATCCACATCTGCCTATCCCAGGTCCTGGGTAAGGACTCAATAGGTAGACAAAATGCCAAATCCAGTCTAAAGATCTGGCTGATTGTGCGATGATTAATATTAATATTAACAACAACAACAACAACAACAACAATAATATGTTTAAGACACACTGCTATATTAAAAAAAACATAAAATTGGACTGTTGGGTAACCCTGAGCTGTTCTTTAAATTGGCGCACTTAACCAGCATCCCAGACAGAATATTAAATCAATGTAATTGTTCCTGTAATGCTGCTGTTCCCTTGTGTGACTTTAATTTCCCTGTATTGACATTTACCTTCTGCTCTTGGAGTTGAACTGAAATTGCACTATATCCATCTCAATTCTCCTCCTCCTGCTCCTCCCAGAGTTGGAAAGGACCTTGGAGGTCTTCTAGTCCAACCCCTTACTCAAGTAAGAGACCCTTCTCTCCTCCTCCTCCTCCTCCTCTTCCTCCCCCTAGCAGAATTGGAAGGTGCCTTCGAGGTCTTCTAATCCAATCCTTGCTCAAGCAGGAGACCCTCCTCCTCTCCTCCTCCTCCTCCTCCGAATAAGAGTTGGAAGGGATCTTGGAGGTCTTCTAGTCCAACCCTTGCTCAAGCAGGAGACTCTTTCCTCCTCCTCCTCCTAACAAAATTGGAAAGGACCTTGGAGGTCTTCTAGTCCAACCCTTGCTCAAGCAGGTGACTCTCCCCTCCTCCTCCTTCTCCTCCTCCTCCTCCTCCTCTTCCTCTTCCTCCTCCTAACAAAGTTGGAAAGGACCTTGGAGGTCTTCTAGTCCAACCCTTGCTCAAGCAGGAGACCCTCCTCCCCCCACATCCGACAGAGGTTGAGTCTGTCTTTAACCAGCTGCTGTTTGACGATAAACCACTGGAGGCCCTCAGCACTCCATTTTTCTTCCCATTGATGGCTAAAACACAGGAAAAAATAGACTTTAAGACAAAGTGGTAACAGAAAAAAGAAGAGTGTTTAGAATCAAAGGAGGTGGCTTTGTTTCCACTTGCTTTTATTTGTCAGATTTACAGTAGAGTAACGTCTGGCACCCAGAATGTCTTTTCCAAATGTGGACTTCCAGAATAGATGGTGTTCCTTGAACATTAAGGCGCCAAGACACAAACACTAATGAAAACATACAGAACGGACTCCTTTCTCGCTGCTGATTGCCACATTTAATTAACGTTTATGACGGTTTAATGGGAAGCAGTATGTGTCTGGCTGCACAATCTTTTAACCTCCCATCTTCTCTTCGGTCTGCTCACTTTCCCTTCCTTCTTGACACTTCATCTTGATCCATGTTTGGGTGCGTTGAGAAATATTTATTTTTGCCTGTTTCTGCTTGGGGCGAGTGCAAAACCACTCCGTATCAGAAGAAAGAAGGATATGCATGTTTTCGGTGAAAAAAAAACCCTGATTTTCTGATCTGCAACTGCCTCCCCGTAGCCAGTTCTTATAAGATCTTGATTATCAACATTCAAATTGTTTCCTGCATGTGAACATGGAGAACCCTAGATTGACGTGTGGCCTTCAGAATCACCGATATTAATAATTAAAAACGGTCCCTGAAATGCATTGGTTGCATCAATTCCCGGTGTGAAAAAAGAGCAAAAAAAATTGTGGTTGAAGAAAATGGTTCTTAAGCGTTTTTGCTCTCTTGTCTCTTATTTTATTATTGCCTTTGGATAAAACACAATTTAGATAGAAATGAAAATGGGTGTCAGTTTGCCAAGCCAACAGCACAACAATATTAATACAGCTGGTGCATCCCTGGGTTTTGCTGCAGTCTTTCATTAATAGGAAGATCTGAAAATGAACTTTATATTGCAGTTAAGGAACTTTAATTTTTCTTTAACCAGTCCGGGCTGGTTAAAGAACCGGGCTGGTTTTAGACCAATTTTATTGGTTGTTCCTTTATCGAAAAGCAAAAAAAAAAAAAAAAAAAAAGAATCAATTTCTAGGGAGACTCTCAGTCATCCAGGTCTTGGTTGTCCCAAAGGTGTTTTTTCAAGAGGCAACTTGTTTTTTCTTTGTTTCTCCTTGAAGACATTTTGCTTCTCCTCCAAGAAGCTTTTGTAGAAGAACTGAAGAAGCTTCTTGGATGAGAAACGAAACGTCTTCAAAGAAAAACAAAGACAATCCAATTGCCTCTTGAAAAAAAGCAGCTTTGGGCCAAAAGAAGAAAGTTTTTCTTTTTTTTCTCCTTTTTAAAGCTCAAAAAATTTAAATAGAAACATGCAAAAGGTTTGTTTAGAACATTGTTAGGAGACTTAAAAAGAGGAAGCCAACAAAAATAGCAAACTGAGAGCTGAATCGTTTCATAGTAGTATATAACCTGTTCCAAAATAAAAAATAAAAAATCCCATAGCAGAATTCTGTTTTTCTTCCAAAAACCCATCCAAGGAGAATGATCTATGGTGTTTTGACCGAGGCTGATGTTATATGTTGACAAATTTTAACAGCTGCGAGATAACTCAAAGTGAATGCTAAGAGGCCCAGAAAACACAAGAAAATTTGCAGAGGAAGGGAAGATCATTCATCCACCTTGATACCTGTTTTACTAGGATATTCTCCCTTGGTTGACAAATATACTGTAAGTGGCAAGTCAACCAAGGCCTTTGAACTGTTGGGAGAAGATTTATTTTCTCTTGTCTCACTTTGAAAAGAAAAAGCAGAAAACAGCAAAGCCGCAAGGGAACCGTTTTAAATTAAAAGGTGGAGTTGTGATTGTTTCTGTCTAAGGTTATAAGACAATTTTATTTATTCTTTTACTTTTTTAAAAAATCTCATTTGCTTTTCCGGTTCATGGGGATGGGGGGTTTGGGGGTGGGTGGGCGGGCCGCCACAATTTGTTTCCAAACTGTTAAATTGAATGAGTTTGTGCTAAGTGATGATTAATAAATACGGGCCAGGGCCACAACAATTGGATGTTTCACTTGGGTAGTGGTATTTGTGAATGAAACCGCCTCAAGAGGAATTGGGCAAAATCGGTTTTTACAGAAACAGCCCGTTGGAAATTCATAAACCTAGAAGCACTGAGGTTGACAAACGGGTCAGTTTGCATAGATCTCAGTCAACTGCCTGAAAAAGGGAATAAATGCTTTGATGGACTTTCAAACTGACTTTTTATTACGGTGGTTCAAAGATGAATTCTACACATATTTGTTGAAAATACTGGAAATTGATCATTGTTTGATCGGGTTTCACTGGATCCATATGTGGTGCATTCTGGCGATAACTTCTAGCTGAACAGTCTTTAAATGCTATACTTATGCTATTTTAATTGACATGTACATCACATCAATTAAAAACCAGGATCCACAAACACTGACCGGCAGTCAAATGCCACGATCCCAGATCCTTAATCTCTACCCACACCAACACCAAATGGCACCAGTTCGATTGGCACATACACCAAAAACCTTCTGCCACGCTACCACACGCTATGGTTGTGAATTCATTGAAGCCTGGCACTCCACAAGCAATTCCACTGACAGACACATTGACCCACAACCAGCCGACGAACCCCTCAGAATAATCCGAATCAACCGCACAGCCAACCAGAGACAGCACCGACCTCAGCCATCCCGCGCAATCCCCCTTTCCCCCCAACCAGCAATTCACCTCCCAATGGCCCTGATCTGATCCAATCTCCCCATCACAAGACCCATCCCAAGCCTCCCACTGATAACTCACACCTGACCCATCACAAGACCCATCACAGTCCCTCACTCGACATACCCACACCTTTATAAGGCCCACACACCCACACCCTTATGAAGCCCTTATAAACAGAAAGACACTGACACCTCCTAAACTCCTCTGAAGATGTTACCTAGCCTGGTAATGAAACGTTCAGAAACCAACCCACAAACTCGGAGAACGCACCTTCACCCTCCTCCTACACCCGAGCTATAGATATTCGCCACTATTGCAAGCTGTGCTTATCTATTGTTAGTAGCAGGACCTCTTATCTGAACAAATCAGCTTCATTTCCCAAGATACACTACATTTATATTAAATTAAGCTACAATTTCAAAGAGATGTATCATTCTGGGGAAGAAGAAAAAAGCTAGATCAAACCTAGCTCAAAAACAGTGGGGTCCTTGGTGCTCTCTGAGCTTGGTTGTTTTCTTGCAGACGTTTCTTTACCCAATTGGATAACATTATCAGTGCCAGAAGAGAGTGGGTGTTTATGGAGAAGAAGAGGAGGAGGAGGAGGAGGAGGAGGAGGAGGATTGTGGGGTCCTTGGTGTTCTCTGAGCTTGCTTGTTTTCTTGCAGACGTTTCATTACCAAACTAGGCAACATTATCAGAGCTAGAAGGGAGTGGGGTTTGCTCTCTGCTCCCTCCTAGCAATGAAGATGCTACCTAGGTGGATTCTGGAACATCCTCAAGGAAACCACCAAGCTCAGAGAGCACCAAGGACCCCACAGTTCAACCCTGAGGTGCAAATATTCTCTTTTACTGGTAGCTCAAAAAAGCCACCAAAAATTTAAACAAGCAGTGTATTTTGTACCAGCCGTCTTTAAAATAGAATGGCTGTTTTCTTCTAATTTTATTTCTTAATACTCTGCAAAAACCTTGAATGGGGACACAAGAGTTATAGCTTTGAACCGCGGTATGGAAATGTCTATAGAGATCCTCCGTCATCCAGGTCATAGTTATCCCAAAGATGCTTTTTTTCAGGAGGCAACTGGACTCTCTTGTTTTTCGCTTTGAAGACGTCTCGCCTCTCATCCAAAGAAGCTTCTTCAGCTCCGACCGGATGGTGGGGAAGGGAAAGATTTGCAGGGGTATAAATCTTTCCCTTGCCCACCATCCGGTCAGAGCTGAAGAAGCTTCTGGGATGAGAAGCGAAACGTCTCCGAAGAAAAACAAGGAATTCCAGTTGCCTCTTGAAAAAGCATCTTCAGGTGTCCCATGGGGAAAAAAAAAAGAACATTAAAAACAATGGGTAATTTTCCCCAGAACTGATGTGATGTGATTAATAAACAGAATGCTATTTTCCTATGAGTCAAGATTGTCGCCCTTACATTGTCTCCCTTACATGACCTCCCAGCTGCATTGTTCTATCTAGCCTTCCATTAACCTGGTCCTCTTCCTCTCCTCCCATTCAACCATGGTTATAGCCAAGATGTCCACGTACGAGAGACTCAAACTGGCATGTTGTTTTGATTGTGGCTACTCTGTGCATGACCGCACACGCAAGTCAGACCGTGTGCATTGTAAGATGGACACCCTTGAGAGAGCCTTCCCACTTCCTTCCGTCTCTGTTAGTGATTGCTCCACCACTTTACGTGCCTGTAAGTTTGAACACCTAGCACGCCTTGTTCCATGTTTGTGGTGCCTGTGGCTTCACCGCTGTCTTGTGCTGTCCGTTGTGGCTCTGTTGTTTCCGTGGGTGGGGAAGTGAGGGTTTCAAATGGCCTGTGGAGTTTGGTTCTGGTGGCTGTTTTAATTTATGCCATCCTATATTTCCATATCTTTCAGTGTATTCTCTCTCTCTCTCTCTCTCTCTCTCTCTCTGTCTCTCTCTCTCTCTCATAACAAATGCAATTGTGTTTTTAATTGCTCTACCTGCGAGCTTTTCGGAGAGAAAATGAGCATCTCGGTGCAATTTTGCGCAATTTTGCTTTTTAATTAATATGCTCAGTATAATGGTTGTTCAGTGCTTTACTATTAGCTGTAGGGGGGAAAATTATGTTCCCAGGCTTTTGCAGTAGATCGTGGTTTAGAGAGCGTTTTAGGCAAATTCAGTGTAATTCATGCTGTGTGTAGCACAAAAATTGTTTATCCGTGTAACTTCTTTCTGCCGATGTGCAAATGAGTTCATCTTTCATCTGAACTAAGTAATATAATTTGACTATTGTTATATGCATTGTCGATATCCATTCGTAGTTGGCGGCTGTCACTGACATTGTCCTGTCTGCACAATTCTTGTCGGTGCAAATGTATTTCCATCTCTATTATTTTGCCAATCAATAAGCCACTGTCTCAAAAACTGTGTGTTTCGTTCTGGTTTCCCATGCCAGCCAGCCGCCACAATTAGTAAAGCCTCATTATGATAGGAATTGCAGGGTCTAAAGTGATCCAGAACTGTCAAACTCCACAGTAGGTTTAGACACTCCAAATTGATTCATTCATTCCTTCAAAAAAAAAAAAAATCCATCGATTTGACAAATCACATTGATGGATTCAGTTGAACCCCGCCGAATCAATTTGGAGGCATCCTACATGTGCCAATTTGCATGTACTAATCCAGCAGATGAATTTAAAGGTTTACATCAGATCTCCTTTTCGCATCAATTCAAACATTCAAAACAAATCGAATGAGTTTGCACACCTCTACTATATGCAGGCTGTGTTAGCTTTCGTTGTGTGAAGTTGATTCATTTTATTCAGTATTTATTCTCCAAGAGAGCTGGGTCATTTTTATGCCGGGAGTCCTGAAGTCAGGGGGCCATGATTTGTAATGTTTCTTGCTGATTTCCGGCATTTTTGCTGATTTCTGGAAAACAAACGAACAGACTTGGTCTTTTGAGAGAATAGAATAGAGCTGGAAGGGACCTTGGAGGTCTTCTAGTCCAGCCTCCCACTCAAACAGGGAAACCTATACCATTTCGGACAAGTGGCTGTCCAGTCTCTTCTTAAAAACCTCCAGTGATGGAGCGCCCACGATTTCTGGTGGCAAGCTGTTCCACTGGTTAATTGTCCTCACTGTTAGGAAGTTTCTCCTTAATTCCAGGTTGCTTCTCTCCTTGATTAGTTTTCATACATTGTAAGAGTTGTGCTTGTGTTCAGATTCCTTTTAATTCTTGCGAAAATAGGGGTTGTTTCCTACTTTCTCTCTGCCCCCCTTGACTTCTCTCTTTATTTGGCCAATATGTTGGTCTGGAGATTAATCACAATGGAGCCTGATCGTCTTAATGGAGGAAAAAGTTCATCACAGCTTCCCTTGTGTGGTTTCTTAATAACTGCACTCATAAAATGCCCATTCACTAGAATTGCTACAATGGTACCAAATAGTTTCTTTAAATTAAAATATGTGTGAATTTTTTGCAAAAAAATCTACATTAATGCTGGAATGGGACAACTCACCACAGCCAAGTTTAACAATTTAACAATTCAATTTAATTATTTAAAAACAGAAATTTTTTTTGTCATTCATGTTTCATTCTGTCTCTCCTTTTTCATCCTTTCTTTAACGATTCTGCTCCACCATTTCTTCCATAATCGTGTAATTCTTGTCCCACGGTGAGTTGGCTGTGGTGAGTTGCCACACACCCCATTAATGCAAAGCTTTTAAAACCAAATTAGTCCTAGGCTAATTTTGCAGCAGTCCTAAGCTGCATTAACAAAGGGACAGAATCAAGAGTATTAGTACCACTTTGCAAACCCTTAGTACAGCCACACTTGGAATACTGCACCCACTTTTGGTCACCATGGTGTAAAAAAGATATCGAGAAAGAGTGCAGAAAAGAGCAGCAAAAATGATCAGGGAACCGGAGGCGAAAACATATGAAGAACGGTTGCAGGAATTGGGTATGTCTAGTCTAATGTCCAATATTTGAGGGGCTCCTACAAAGACGAGGGGATCAACCTATTTTCCAAAGCACCTGAGGGCAGAACAAGAAACAATGGATGGAAACTAACCAAGGAGAGAGGCAACCTGGAATTAAGCAGAAACTTCCTAACAGTGAGGACAATGAGTTGACTGTGGCGAATTGGCCATGGCGAGTTGGCCATGGCAAGTTGGACGTGACAAGTTGCCCCATTCCAGAGTCCATCTTTCTTGTCACAAAGAAGAGGGAGTCAAGCTATTCTCCAAAACATCTGAGTTCAGGACAAGAAGCAACGGATGGAAACTCATCAAGGAGAGAAGCAACCTGGAATTAAGCAGAAACTTCCTAACAGTGAGGACAATTAAGCAGAGGAACTGAGGTTGCCTTCAGAAGTTGTGGGTGCTCCATCACTGGAGGTTTTTGAGAAGAGACTGGACAGCTATTTGTCTGGAATGGTATATAGGGTCTCCTGCTTGAGCAGGGGGTTAGACTAGAAGACCTCCAAAGTCCCTTCCAGTTCTGTTATTCTATGAAATTCTGCCAAGTCCATAATAATGAGGTTCATAACAGCCAGCCCTATAAATATGGCCTGATGCATTTTCTACTCATTGCTCTATTGGTCCCACAAAGAGGAAAAGGCATAACATGGACCGTTGGCTATTTTCATTTCGATCTGTAGTTTTCGAGGCAAGGAAGGAACAGCTTAACCAAATGGGGAGAGGAAAAAAAAAGTTTGAGACATAATTTCTGCCACACCTCTAAAGTTCTGCTTTTGAAAAGCACGTTAGCCACACACTGCAGTCAAACATAAAAGCCAGAATAAGAGCTTGGAAGGGATTTAGGGTTTTTTTTTCTCCCTCCTCTTACCCTACACACCTTCCACCCATCATTGCCTCGTCAGGCAAAACCAGATTTAATTCTGCTCCGTGTGAGATCGCTCAGCTTTGATAGCTTAATAAGAAACAATGCAGGCTTCCAGACCAAGCCTGCTCTTTGTAAACCAGGGTTAGCCGGTTAATAGTGGTCATGTAAATCTCTGCATCTCCCCATGAAGACACCCACAGCTACACATACACATACACACACACACACACACAAAATCTCCGTGGCAGGGCTTCAAGGGAAATTGATATTTTCCTTCCAGTGAAATAGCCCATCTTGACGAAGGCTGCTTCACGCAAAGAGGCGGTGGTGAGATTTGGACTTTTTTTATTATTATTAAAATACAAGCATATGTGAAAATGCAGCCGGGCTGGGCAATTAGAAGTGGCGGTAACGAGGAATCAAAGTGAGGTCAGATCCGTGGATAAGATTACCTTTCTCACATTCTTCAGTTGTTCTGAAAATCATTCTGAATTAGTGTCAGAACAGGCCTCCATCGGTTATGCCGTCTGTCTTTCCAGCAAGGACTGTAGTGTTTCCCAAGACACTCATTAAAGATCATTATATTATTACAAGGCTGGCTTTAGTCACAGACACCCCTCTGCAGCCATCAAGGCTGTCTGCTTTTAAGATGGCTTAATGTGTTTTTCTTGTTCTTTTTGCTCTCCCTGGCTCTTTTTTTAAAATTTTATTTTATTTTACACATTAAAGGGGAACGAGGAACGATTGCGAACAATGATATTTAGAAACCGGAGCGAGCAAAAACACAACTCTTGCTCTTGAAAATGGGATTGCTTCCAGGCTAATTTGGTTCTGATCCTGCAGGAATGCTCACACACATTCCAGTCTAATGAAGAGAACTACTGGGGTTTTTCCATTATTGTCCCTAGGGCTGGTCAGAAAGAACTGGTTGTGGAAAAACAGCAAGGTTTTGCACACCTAGGCAGGAAGAACCAAAGGTCCAGGTTCAAACTGGGCAAAACCTGGCTCCAAAACAGTCACTGTGAGAGGGACCTTGGAGTCCTAGGGGACAATCCCTTAAACATGAGCCAGCCGTGTGTGGCAGCAGCCAAAAGAGTTTAATATAATCCTTGGTTGTATAAACAGAGGCATAGAATCAAAATCACGTGAAGTCTTAGTACCACTTTATAAAGCTTTAGTAAGGCCACACCAGGAATACAGCATCCAGTTTTGGTCACCGCATTACAAAAAAGTTGTTGAAGCTTTGGGAAAAGTGCAGAGAAGAACAACTAAGAGGATTAAAGGCCTTGAATGTCTTCTAGTCCAAACCCAGACTGGTTGTCCAGTCTCTTCTTAAAAGCCTCCAGTGTTGGAGCATTCACAGCTTCTGGAGGCAGGTGGTTCCACTGGTTAATTGTTCTCACTGTCAGGAAGTTTCTCCTTAGTTCTAGGTTGCTTCTCTCCTTGATGAGTTTCCATCCGTTGCTTCTTGTCCTGCCTTCAGGCACTTTGGAGAATAGCTTGACTCCCTCTTCTTTGGGGCAGCCCCTCAAATATTGGAAGACTGCTATCATGTCCCCCCTAGTCCTTAGTTCTAGTCCAGTTTATGACAATAACAATAACAGAGTTGGAAGGGATCTTAGAGGTCTTCTAGTCCAACCCCTTGCTCAGGCAAGAAACCTTTTTTTTAATTTCACTTTATTTCTATTTTAGTTTTATATTACTTTACCTTATCTGCGGCTGGTCAACGACCAAAAATGAAATTATTAGAATTTATGCCACTTATGTCTTAAAGGTACCGTCACTGTAACAAAGGCCACATTCTGTGTCCTGTCAATTTTGACTTGTTAATGTCAACGGGCGTGGAATGACACACGTTGAAAAAAGCAAGATTACCA